AGGGTTCTAGGTGAACCCGAAGAACTTCGTGGTGAAAGTGGAGGTGCATTGCCAGCAGGAAAGATAGAAGGCAAAGAATTGCTTGTGGCAGCACTACTGCTTGAAGAAGTTCCTGAGACACCTAAGGGACAAGCACCCTTGGCATTACTGACCAAAGTTTTTACCTGCAAGAGAAGAAAGGTGGATTTAAATATACTATTACAAAAAAAAAAAAAAAAAAAAAAAAAAAAAAAAAAAAAAAAAATCCACAAATGTGATAACAAGCAAAGAAATTAAAAAATAAAATTAAAAAAAATTAAAGTGAAATATCTTTTGACTCCAAAAGAAAGGACAGATATGAAACATTCCAACATATTGCAACTTGCAAGGGGTTCCAGTTTTAAAATACTGACCAGAATCCATATCTAGAGTTCCATGTATATACTAATAGGAATATAATTCAAATACAACGATGGGAATCCAAATCCTAGCTTTTGGTGGAAAATAGGGAAGAAATATGTAAATGAAGGATCCTAGATCCAAATATCCAATGTAACATTCTGTCCATTTTTCTGGTATGTCTTTTTTATTACATAAAAGCAGACAAGAACCTAGCATCTAATCTATAATTGTTGAGAACAGGTCTTTTGCACTTTATTTCTCTTTTAAAAAAAATACTTTGGCATGTAATATTTTCAGATATATTATTTTACTCCATAACTGATCTAGCAAACTAAACTTCCAAATATCTAGCCTCTCAAAGTAGTTGATCTTTACCAAAATCAAATTGTGTTATCATAGTCATAGAAGCAACATCCAATTTTCTTAATCTAGCAATTGTTAATGCGATATATTGCCCATATAAGTTAATTTTCCATTCTCTTGGCAATATAAGATTTTATGCAAACTTCTTATTATTATTATAAGATTTTTTGCAGGCTCAAAAATCAGTCTTATAGACATGGATACTGTTTAACCGTGCTGGATTGTAACTTGTACAAATGAAGTCTCAATTCGTGTTATAAATAAAGCCACATAAAAGGATATGGATACATTAATCTTAACTCACAAAGATTTTATTTCTTGGCCATGACTTCAATTGTAAAGGAAACTGCTCATTTTCATACACCAATGCAATTTAATTTTATTGTCATGTAAGAATAAGCCTTGCATATAGAAGATATATATCCAAGTAGATAGTCAATGTTGTCAAAGATCTACATTTTGGAAGATACTTGTGTAAACACTAAACAGACAAATAGAACAAGATGAAGCAAAAAATAAACGGCAATGATCATATTGAATTGTCATATCATTGCTGAAACACCATTCCACTAGCAACATAAGGTTTATGCATAAAGACATAATCTGTCAAATGGTTATTCAGTCTAGTAACTTTTGTTTCTTCAATGGTGTACATGCATTGATAGCATTTGTGTCATACAGAGGTTGAGCTGGGCTGAACTTGAAATAACCTCTAAAAAGGAACCAGGGAGTCTGGACTCAAATATCAATGAACATGCACTTCAGAATAAACATTTGCATTGCACTCATTTTACAAAAAGAAAAAAGATGGTGTACCTTTCTTTCAACAACAAACTGTCCCTACTCCCTACCTCCTTACTGCTCGGGGTGTATGTTATCTTTTCCCTAATAATAAATAATAAAAGAGAAGACCACCAACTGTATACTTTTGCATTGTTCTGATAGTTGGCTTTCTAACATCCACCATAAACCACTCCTCATAGCTCTACTCTATATGATTTCATTTATCCCAAAATAGTACTCATATTTTTTAGTGCTGCATTCTTTGTGGTAAATACTGTTCAGCATAGAGAAGCAAAACTGTACTCCATATTAGCAACCACACAATGAGGTATCTGCTGGCCAAGATAAGAGAGCCATAACAGGGCGAATCTGTTTTTTTATTTCACTTTCCTGCCAATCATTTCTCAGCTCAGCCTTTCTCACGGGATAACAATTCACATTTTGAGACTGTTACCTCCACTTAATGGACCTCCTAGGCTCCTAGCATCTCTATTACTACCAACAGCAAGCACATTCTACTTAAATGAGTGCGCACAAGCTCAATTAATATAAAAACAATCATAAATAGATTCAATCCAAATACAATTCAATTCAATTCTTAATGCAGCATGGACGCAAAGAAAGTACCAAAACAATCGTATCAGGAGTCGAGAGCCATTCATCAAAGAGCTTCTCAACGACATACGCCTTCGTTTTGATGGCCAACGGAGAAAAGTCCGGAAGCTGCAATAGCTCCGTGTCTAGGCTGGCCACATCACCGTTGAAATCCACATCCATCGCGACCTCCACAAATCAGAATCAACTCAAACCAAATCCTCAGATCTTCGACCTCTCCCTCTATCATCCAAGCAACGCGAAACACCACCTCTCACGCCATAGCAACTTAAAATACAAACAACAACGCGCAGCTCCGGCCAAAGTCCTCGCACGGATCTTTCCGAATTGGATGAATCGGCAGAGGTAGATGCAATCCTATGAGGATTGAAATGAATGATTGAATTTTCAATGTTTTGAGATCGGAGGATGGGAGTTTGCAGAGAAAAGGGAGGCGAAACCCTTGAGAGGCGAGAGAGGAGCCATGTACAGATTTTTGTGTGAAGAAGAGCAAGGAAGTGCGCGGAGAACGAAAGTGCAATATGACATAGCTAACACCTGATATAGTTTGAGGCGAGACTCCACCAAGACATGAGACCGAGCAATGTGCTCAAACTAGAGCTAAAGGCATAATGGAACATAACTAAATAACGACATCAACAATAATAACCATAATATTGTAATAACATTTCTCTACTTTTTAAATATATTTTTTATTTTTCATAATAAGTTTTTTTTTAAGGTTTTTCATAATAAGTTACTTGAATGATTAAATATATATTACTTTTTACGTTTTAAATAACATGATTTTTACCTACAAAATATAATTTCTCATTATTATAAAGTCACTCCCAAAGTTAAAGAAATTGTGGTTGAGAGGCATAATTATAACTTTCTTAAATATAAAGTCATACATTTAAATCTCAGTGAGACATTAACTCTTTGTGCTTAAATTCTAATAAAGTCACTAGTACTAAAAAAAAAAAAAAAAAATTATATCGGTAACAATATATATGAAAGCCTATGGTGTCGATTGATATCATGTCTCATTGTACAAATTCAACGTCATTAAAAGTGTAAGACAATGCATTGGAGTAATATTGGCTTATTGGATATGAATTGAGAAATTTCTTATATATGTGTGTGTATTGAAGTAATATTGGATATAAATCGACATAGTATAACTTTCTTATATATGTGCGTGTGCATGTGCATACGTATAAACTGATACGAGTGCATGTGCCTACTGGGTGCCTATTCATGTCTTTCGCACGCCCTTTGCTTGCTGCCTTCTTGATTTTCTCTCTCATATTATGGACCCCACAAATATGCATCTCTTGCAAGGAGAGTAAAAGTGAAAAAATCAGCCTTTCACATCTGTTTGAACCCCAACATCAGTTATTTCTTTTACAAAAAATCATCAAATATCCACACTTGTGAATGCTCTAAGGATACCATGATAGTTATCTCGTTTGATATGTCATCCTCAAGGCATAACACCACTTGAAATTATTTATTAGTAATAGTGATTAATTAATGATGCTATATATGCCATAACATATATAAGATATCACATCATTTATTGCGCTAAAAAAACATGAGGAAGTATGGTGCTTAATTAATGGTAATGATACTCCATGACATGATGATTTGAGTGAAAGGAAAAGAGTAATTAGGGTGTTTAATTTGTAATATAATTAAGAAATGCTACAATAAGTATACTACTATGTATATCAGTATATGATCTCTTGCATTATAAAGATTGTTGAACTATTTTTTTTTAATTGTTGAACAATATATGCAATATTCTTATTTTCATACTTTTTTTTTTTGAGCCATTGCATACTTAAAATGTGGATAATTGAAGTCAATATCTACTTAAAAGGTGCCTATTTGTTGCGATGCTATTTAGGATTGTAAATTGCATTATTGGTGTTCTTGGTGAAAGAGTATGACAATAAGTCTGGGGTTTTCATATTTTGTTACAACAAGACTACATTTCTAAAATATAAGAATATTATAAAAAAAAAATTGAATTATAAATTATATGAAGGTGTGATTTACATCCTTTGCAATAGAATGTGAAATATCTAAATGATATCAAGAGTAAAAAAGCTTCGAGTTTGTCATTTGATACATAGATTGAACTCATAAAAAAGTTCAAGATATTATTCGATCATCCTCAAACCAATGCACTATTTTTGAGTTACTAGAAGTCGAGTCATTTAAACTTGACATCAAAATATAAATAAGTACATAATCAACCACAAATTGAGAAACCAGTGAACATGATTGATAATAATATTATTCATGATTTTAAACAACCAAGCATAATAGAGTGAGAGACAATGAATAAGTCTAACACTATTTTAAGTAGTTGTTCATACCACGCCATTGCAAGATATAACAATGCGGCGTAGATATCGATAAAAGGTTAAACAGACCCCTAAACTTTACACCATAAGTTAATTATACACTTAAACTTTATAAAAGTACAATTAAACGATTTTTTATTATGGAGGAGGCGACATTTTCTGGTCGCCTTCCCCGGAGAAGGCGACCAGTTGATCGCCTTCACTGGTGGAAAGCGGTCAGTTAGTCGCCTTCCGCCAGAGAAGGCGACTAATCGTAGATGGCAAGTCGTCGCCGGTGGTTGAATTTTGTTGTTGAAATTAAAATGACATATAATAATATGTCATTTATCAATTTATGAGTTTCAATGATTCAATTTAATATATTCGAAGTGTTAAATTGCACTTTTATAAAATTTAGATACCTAATTAACTTTTAGTGTTCAGTTTAGATGCCTATTTGAACTTTTTCCCTTTTTTTTTTTTGGTTCAAAAAATCAAATAATACCACTCGGAGCATTGATAGCCTCATATCGATACAAACAATCTGGATGATATCCAAATGTCCAACAAGCTCTCTGAACACTTCCCTCCAACTTCATCTCCTCCTGCTCTATCCACAAGAACAGCAGGTATTTTACTGTATTTTTCTCTTAGATGTAGCTCAAAAATGATTCGTTTCTCTGATCACTGAAAACCAAGAAACCCTGACCAAATGACTCTGTATTTGTCTACTGAGATCTTCACTCAAACCCCTCTCTTTTTCAAGAAACTCGAGCCCACTACAGAATATAAGCACAGCAGCCCTGTAATCAAATGCAATAATCATCTAAATAGGGAGCGGCAGCGTAGGAAGCCACAAACAGTTAAGGTTTCTACTGACAACAGGAACACCGAAATACAGTTTAATGATTTCAACGAAGCCAATTTTATGAAGGTGCTGAATAGTTCTTGTAGAGCAGGGAACTATGATGAAACTGTGTATATTCTTGAGTGTATGGTGAAGAGTGGGTACAAACCGGATATGTTTCTATGTACAAAGCTCATTAAGGGGCTTTTCAGTGTAAAAAAGGGGGAAAAAGCAGTGAAAGTGGTGCAGATTCTGGAGCAATTTGGTGAGGCAGATGTGTTTATATATAATTCTTTGATTGTTGGGTTATGTAGAATGAATAAGGTTGGGGCAGCTAAGGAGGTGCTGAATAGTATGAGAGCCCGGGGTTTTCGCCCGAACGTTGTTACCTATAATATAATCATAGGAACTCATTGTGATAGGGGAGAGCTAGGGTTAGCTTTCAAGGTTTTGGATGAGTTGAAGGAAGACAATAGCCTTCGACCAAATGTAGTGACATACACAACCTTGATGGAGGCTTCGATCCATAAAGGGGCCGTTAGTGAAGCAATGAGGCTTCTAGACGAGATGTTATGTCTCGGGCTCCAACCAAATATGTACACTTATAATGCAATCCTTAGAGGGTTGTGTAGAGAAGGCATGTTCGGTGAAGCCCACGAGTTGCTTAGGAGTTTGCCGCATGGAGGAAGCAAAGGGTGTTCAATTGGGTATAACATTTTGTTGAAGGCATTGTTGAGTAGGGGGAATTGGGACGATGGGGAGAAGCTAGTGGAGGAGATGTTATCCGCGGGTTGTGAGCCAAATATGGTTACCTATAACATCTTCATGACTTCCTTGTGTCGAGATGGAAAGCTAAACGAGGCAATAAGCCTGCTTAAGATTATGACGGAGAAGGGGGTGGCTCCCAATCAAATCATTTACGATCCACTTATCTGCGCTTTTTGCAAGGAGGGGAGGCTCGATTCGGCCATTGATCTCGTGGATGCCATGGTTTCAAACGGTTGCTCGCCCGATATAGTGAACTATAACCACATCATTTCCGCAATGTGCAAGAACGGAAACGATGATCTTGCGACGGGACTCATCGAGGAGCTCGGTGCAATAGGCTATCCCGTAGATGCAAGTACTTATAGTGCTATGATGTGTGCTCTATGGAGCAATGGAGAAAGCACCAAGGCCTTGAATATGGTTCCTCAAATGATAGACAAACGGGTTTATCCCGACGAGACTACATATGGTGCATTGGTGTCGCGTTTATGCAAAGGCGGGATGGTGGACGAGGCTCTACATTTGTTAGATGTTATGGAGAGGTACGGTTTTCCACCCACCGTCGTGGTTTACAATGCTGTGTTGCTTGGGCTGTGCAAATCTCATAGATTAGATGAGGCAATTGATGTCCTAGAAGAAATGACTGAAAGGGGCTGCCAGCCAAATGAAAAAACTTACATTATACTAATTAAAGGCATTGGTTTTCATGGATGGAGAGACGAGGCGATTAAGCTGGAAACCACTCTTTTCCAAATGAATGCTATTTCAAGGATAGGGAATCAAGCTTTTGTTTGGTAATTGGTCTTGCACTAACTATTGCCCCATATTTTTTTTTGGCAAAAATGTAATAATTTTTGAGGTGTAAACAAATGTAAGAATTCCCGTTATGTCAAAACACTGCTTATACCATGCATATTAGAAATTATGTTTAATGTATAGCTAAATCACTGATTACACTATGCAAATTAAGTTTAATGTACTCGATCGAGCATGTTGTATATAATCTTTTTAGTGTGATTTACATAGGGAGTGAGGGCCGTACGGGTAACTCAATTCCTTGGCAATAGAGTGTGGACAAGGAAATGCGACCCATTCATAGTGTCGAAGTTTCGGTTTAACCCAATGTGTTGTGGTGTGGCAATTTCATTTTTTCCCAGTGTGGTGGGTCTAAACACTGGTCCTTCCGTCTAATAAATTACTGAGTCATCTTGATTTACTTTAGTAATTTATCCATCTATTATCCTGTCAGACTGGAATATGAGGCTTAAGGACGAAGAAAATTTTGCCATTGTGGGCAAGGGCAAGGGATTTAGTAACTCTGAGTTTCTTGTGACTTGCGATTTACATTCTCTTTGGGCAGGGTTCGAGTAAGCTGAGAAACCTAGTATATCAATTAGTTTGTAACTCAATAATATTTGTGTCTCTCCTAAATCGGAGGTCACAGATTTGAATATCAGTGACTCTTTGTGCACAGAAAATATGTATAGACAGATACTATGTTATAATTGTTGACTAAAAGAAATTTGTATGCACGGTCTATGGCACGTGATTAACCGTCTTTGTCGTCTTTATCCTTGCGATGATGTCGATGGACTGCCATGGATTTATATCTCTTTGAAAACACGATGTTGGACTTCCATGGCTTTGTCTCCTTCCGCTTCCTTCACATGAATTGCAGGTGCTTTATTTCTTCTCTTAGATTTTGTTCAATGATATTTGTTTCTCTGTGAACTTTGAACGCCAACAAGCCCTAATCAAAATGTCAATTTCGTTTTCTAATAAGCTCTTCACTCGACCGCCTCTCTTTTCCACGAAACTTGAGCCCGCCACAGATTATAAGCGCAGCAGCTCTGTAGTCAAATGCAAAAAACATGAATTTAGAGAGCGAAACCTTAAGAATCTGCAAAGTGTTAAGGTTTCTACTGAAAATAGAAATGCCCTAATACAGTTACTTGATTCCAAAGAAATTGATATTAGGAGAAGGCTAAATAGGTCTTGTGGAGCAGGGAAGTATGAAGAAACTCTGTATCTTCTTCAGTATATGGTAAAGATTGGGTACAAACCAGATGTGGTTCTGTGTACCAAACTCATTAAGGGGCTTTTTAGTGTAAAAAAGGCAGAAAAAGCAGTGAAAGTGATGCAGCTTCTGGAGCAATTTGGAGAGCCAAATGTGCTTGCATATACTGCTTTAATCGGTGGATTCTGTAAAACGAACAGGGTTGAGGCAGCTAACGGGGTGTTGAATAGGATGAGAAGCCGAGGTTTTTTCCCTGATGTTGTTACCTATAATATAATGATAGGGAGTATTTGTGATAGGGGGAAGCTAGGATTAGCTTTGAAGGTTTTGGATCAGATGAAGGAAGACAACAATTGTAAACCGGATGTTGTGACATACACGGTCTTGATAGAGGCTACGATCGTTAAAGATGGGATTAGCGAAGCAATGAAGCTTGTAGATGAGATGTTATCAAGAGGACTTGAACCGAATATATACACTTATAACGCAATCCTTAAAGGATTGTGTAGAGAGGGCATGGTGGATCGAGCCTATGAGTTCGTTAGGAGTTTGCCAGCCATGGGGTGCAAACCGGATGTATTTTCTTATAATATTTTGTTGAGGGCGTTGTTGGACAGGAGGAATTGGGATGACGGGGAGAAGCTATTAAAAGAGATGTCATCCATGGGTTGCGAGCCACATACATTTACCTATAACATCTTCGTGAGTTCCTTGTGCCGAGATGGGAAACTCAACAAGGCAATCAGCATGTTGAAGATTATGACCGAGAAGGGGTTAACTCCCAATAAATTTACCTACGATCCGTTGATTTCTGCATTTTGCAAGGAGGGGCGACTAGATTTGGCCATTGATCTTTTGGACGACATGATCTCAAATGGCTGCTCGCCAGATATTGTGAATTTCAACAACATTCTTTCTACAATGTGTAAGAACGGAAATGCTGATCTCGCTATTGAAGTCTTTGAGAAACTCTGTGAAACGTGTGCTCTGGATGTAAGCGCTTATAATTCAATGATAAGTGCTTTATGGAACAATGGAGAAAGAACAAAGGCTTTGGATATGGTTTCTCAAATGATAGACCGAGGGATTGATCCCAATATGATTACATATAATGCACTGATATCTTGTTTATGCAGAGGTGCAATGGTGGATGAGGCTCTGGAGCTGTTAAAAGATATGGAAAGTTGTGGTTTTCCACCTTCAGTAATTGCTTACAATGGTGTTTTTCTTGGGTTGTGCAAAACTCATAGATTTGATGAGGCAATTGATGTGTTTGAAGAAATGATTGGAAAGGGGTGTCTGCCAACTGTAACTGCTTATATGCGATTTATTCAAGGCATTGGTTCTCAAGGATGGAGAGTTGAGGCAATTGAGCTGGCAACAACCCTTTTCCAAATGAATGTTATTTCAAAGAAATCACTCCTTAGTTTGAAAATGGCCTTTCCCATTCTTGATACTTAGGCAGCTAAAAAAAACCATTTCGAAGTGTCTGGTTCAACTCTTTTCCAAGTTTGATTCTAATCAAGAAGACTAATAGACTGCTCTCGCTGAAAGTCAAATTTAAAATCTTGTAGTTACTAAGTTAACATCTTGATCAACTTGGTTGGAGTATTGTTCTCTTGCTGTTTTATCAAGTATTGCTCTCTTGCTATAAGATATTAGTCCTGTTTGGTAAAATACTTAGCTTATCAGTCAATTTTAATTTATTTGATCACTATTAACTGTTTGACTTGGTTAAAAAATTAAGGGGGCGTTTGGTTCAGGTTATATTACATAACCATGGGAATATGACATTCCTGAGCTTAGATTCCTATGTTTGGTTCATACTATCTGAGGGAATATAACATTCCCAGGGAATGGAACATTCCCTCCACATAGGATTTTGAAGGGAATGTGATTCCCTTCCTTTTCTTAGGTAATGTGAGATAACCTTGGATATTTATAAATTTTGCTATTTTCATTCTAATTATTTAAAAATATATATTTTATGTTAGCTTTTATATATATATATATATATATATATATATATATATATATATATATATAAAGATAAAGATAACCCTAAACCAAACATAATTATATTATATACCTCAGTCTTAACCAAACACAGGAATTTAACATTCCCAGTAATCTAACATTCCCAGCAATCTAACATTCCCTAAGGTAATCTAACATTCCCTAAGGTAATCTAACATTCCGTGAACCAAACGGCCCCTAAGTGTTTGATAAATGTTAAAATTCAAAAAGCTGTTCAAGTAATTTTTTTTTTAAAATTATATCAAACAATTATCTACAATCAACTAATTTATCAAATATTTTTTTTACAATCAGTTAATATTATCAACTAGTTATATCATCTAACCCAATCAGGATCTTAATATTCCACGAATTCACAAACCAACATTTACTTCTTCTTCTTCTTTTTTGAACAGAAACATTAACATTAACAAAATGAGCTGGTTAATGACGATAAATATAGTCATTAGAATCTCACACTAACTACTAACCGATTGAAAAACACAGATTCCCCAACATTAGGACGTCAGATAATGAATAGGTATGCTGTGCATCTGTATGCACCATGCATGGTGCATACAGATGCAAAAACGACGTCGTTTTATTAAAAACGCGCGTCTCCCATTTAAAAAAAAAAATCAGGTTCGATTCCTAGTAACAACATTATTTTGTTCATTCATTATGGAATTTTAATTTATGGATTATGGAATTATAGTTCATCGATTATGGAACTATAGTTCATCGATTCTGGAATTATAGTTTATCGATTCTGGAATTTTAGTTCATAGATTCTGGAATTTTAGTTCATTCATTCTGAAAATTTTAGTTCATAGATTAGATTATGGAATTATAGTTCATCAATTATGGAATTATAGTTCATCGATTATGGAATTATAGTTCATCGATTATGAAATTATAGTTTCGAACCTATTTTTTTTTTTAAGGGGAGACGCGCGTTTTATAAAAACGACGTCGTTTTTGCATCCGTATGCACCATGCTTGGTGCACAGCATAATTTGCCTCAGATAATATGCCACGTGGTTACCGGTGGCCTTATCTTCATCTGGATGATGTGCGACGGAGATAGATTCTGCGAACACAGCTTCTCAGGTGCTTCATTTCTCCATGAACATCAAGAAACACTAACCCCATGACAGTTTCCTTGTCTAATCACCTCTTCCCTCGCACTCCTCTCTTCTTCAAGAAACTCCAACCCACCACAAATCGCAACCGCAGCACCTCTGCAGTGAAATGCAGAAGAAGCCATGAATTTAGGAACCGAAACCCCATACAAAGACTCCACCTTTCCACCGAGAACTACAGAAATACCTTATCGCAGCCAAACGATTTCAAAGAAGCCGACATTAAGAGAGCGCTGTATAGGTCTTGCGGGGCAGGGAAATATGGCGAAGCTCTGTATCATCTTGAATCCATGGTGAAGATCGGGTACAAACCCGATGTGGTTCTCTGTACAAAGCTTATCAAGGGGCTTTTTAGGGTTAAGAAAGCTGAAAAGGCAGTGAAAGTGATGCAGATTCTGGAGCAATTTGGGGAGCCAAATGCTGTTACATATAATGTTTTGATTAGCGGATTCTGTAAACTGAATAGGGTTGAGGAAGCTAACAGGATGTTGAATAGGATGAGAATCCGAGGTTTTGTCCCTGATGTTGTCACCTATAATATAGTAATAGGGAGTATTTGTGGAAGGGGGAAGTTAGGGTTAGCTTTGAAGGTTTTGGATCAGATGAAGGAAGACAAGAATTGTAAACCTAGTGTTGTGACATACAATATCTTGATGGAGGCTACACTCGTTAAAGGCGGGATTGGTGGAGCAATGAAGCTTCTAGATGAGATGTTGTCTCGAGGGCTTCGACCGACTATATATACTTATCATGTAATCCTCAAAGGGTTGTGTCGAGAAGGCATGATGGATGAGGCGTTTGACTTCATTCGGAGTTTGCCAGCTAATGGCTGCAAACCCGTTGTGATTTCGTATAACATTTTGTTGAAGGCATTGTTGGACCGGGGGAATTGGCACGATAGGGAGAAGGTTTTGAGGGAGATGTTGTCCGCGGGTTGTGATCCGAATTTGGTCACCTATAGCATCTTCATGATGTCATTGTGTCGAGACGGGAGGCTAAACGAGGCAATTCGCCTCTTGAGGATTATGATGGAGAAAGGGTTAACCCCCAATACGTTTTCCTATAATCCATTGATTTCCGCGTTTTGCAAGGAGGGGAGGCTAGATTCGGCCATCGATGTGTTGGATGACATGATCTCGAATGGCTGCTCGCCCAACATGGTGAACTACAACACCATCCTTTCCACAATGTGTAAAAACGGGAATGCTGATCTCGCCATTGACATCTTCGAGAAGCTCTATGAAACGGGCTGCCCCCTAAACGTGTGTTCTTATAATTCAATGACGGTTGCTTTGTGGAACAACGGGGAAAGAACCAAGGCTCTGAATGTGGTCTGTCAAATGATACACAAGGGGATTGAACCCGACAGGATTACGTATAGTACACTGATATCTTGTTTAATCAAAGACGAGATGGTGGATGAGGCCATGGCGCTGTTGAAAGAGATGGAAAGACGCGGTTTTCCATCTACAGTCTACATTTACAACAGCGTTCTGCTCGGGCTGTGCAAATCTCGTAGACTAGACGAGGCGATTGATATCCTAGAAGAAATGAGTGTAAAGCGCTGCCAGCCAAACGTAAATACTTACATTATACTAGTTAAAGGCATTGGTTTTCAAGGATGGATAGACGAGGCTATAGAGCTGGCGACCACGCTTCTCCACATGAATGTTATTTCGAAGAAATCAATGTCTCGGATGAGCTTTACCTTCAATGATGCTTAGAATTAGAAAACCTTTTGTTTCAAGATCGAATGGAAAACCGAGAGGTTTCGTTCTTCTTCTGTAATGGTGGTTGGAGATTTGTGATTGTCTTTGTTTTGATATCTCAAGAGTTTTTGATTCTCCAAGGATTCAAAATACCAAAACCTCTCTTGTTTTGTAGAATGCAGAAGATATTGAGATGCATTTCTGTTGATAAAGAGCACCAAAAAGCTTTGAATTTCTTGTTTTTTGATTAGCTCCAATGCAATATTTGCTCTCTTCTCCTTATAAATGAAAAATAAAATTTCTTTCCTCACCAAACACTGATTCACAGCTTCAAAGAAACCCGAAATAACTGTTGAGACAAAACATAAAACAGAACAGTTTTAAGGACAATAATGTTTTTACCACGTGATTGGCACGTGGCCTTATCTTGATTCTTGACACCCACAAATATCGACACTGTAAACACAGCTTCCACCTTCCACGCCTTCATCTCCTTCCTGGCACTCCAAGATTCTCAGGTTCTTCATTTCTTCTCCTACATTTTCCTCAAATCACATTCATTTCTCTGTGACCCATCTTCGAACATCAAAGAAACACTTAACCCAAAATGACAATTTCGTTTTCTAATCACCTCTTCACTCGCACCCCTCTCTTCTTCAAGAATCTTGAGCCCACCACAGATTACAAACCCACCATACTCAAATTCAAAACCCATGTATTTAGGGACCAAAACCCCGCCGTGAATCCCCGGAGTGTTAACCTTTCTACCGAAAACATAAACACCCTAATGCAGATAGATGATGATTGCAAAGAACCCAATTTTACTAGGATGAATCATGACGAAAGTTTGCATCTTCTTGAATGTATGGTAAAGACTGGGTACAAACCAGATGTGGTTCTTTGTACAAAGCTCATAATGCAGCTTTTCAGGGCAAAAAAGGGGGAAAAAGCAGTAAGAGTGATGCAGATTCTGGAGCAATTTGGTGAGCCAAATGAGATTACATACACTGCTTTGATTAGTGGGTTCTGCAAAATGAATAGGGTTGATGAAGCTAACAGGGTGTTGAGTAGGATGAGAACCCGAGGTTTCGCCCCCGATGTTGTTACATATACTATAATCATAAGGACATTGTGTGATAGGGGAAAGCTAGAATTAGGTTTGAAGGTTTTGGATGAGATGAAGGAAGATGACAATTGTGAGCCTGATGTTGTGACATACACAATCTTGATGGAGGCTGCCCTCGTTAAAGGGTGCATTAGCGAGGCGATGGAGCTTCTAAACGACATGTTTGCTAGAGGGCTCGAACCGAATATTTATACTTATAATGTAATCCTTAAGGTATTGTGTAGACAAGGCATGATGGATCAAGCTTATGAGTTGATTAGGAGTTTGCCAGCTAGGGGGTGCAAACCGGTTGTGATTTCGTATAATATTTTGTTGAGGTCATTGTTGGAGAGGGGGAATTGGGACGAGAGGGAGAAGGTACTAAAAGAGATGTTGTCCACGGGGTGTGATCCGAATGTGGTAACCTATAGCATCTTCATGATGTCATTGTGCCGAGATGGGAAACTAAACGAGGCAATCGCCCTGTTGAAGATTATGATGGAGAAGGGGTTAACGCCCAATAAGTTTACCTATAATCCATTGATTTCCGCTGTCTGCAAGGAGGGAAGACTAGATTTGGCCATCGATCTCTTGGATGACTTGATCTCGAATGGTTGCTCACTGAATATAGTCAACTTCATCAATATCCTTTGTACAATGTGTAAAAATGGAGACGCTGATCTTGCTATTGACATCTTCGAGAGCCTCTGTGGAACGGGTTGTTCTCTAAATGTATGTCACTATAACTCGATGATAATTGCTCTATGGAAAGGCGGGGAAAGAACAAAGGCTTTGAATTTGGCTTGTGATATGATAGACAAAGGGATTGATCCCGACAGGGCTACATATAGCGCGCTTATATCTGGTTTAAGCAAATGCGCGATGGTGGATGAGGCTATGGCGTTGTTAGAAGTTATGGAAAGTTGCGGTTTTCCACCCACAGTTAACATCTACAACGGTGTTTTGCTCGGGTTGTGCAAATCTCATAGATTAGATGAGGCGATTGGTATCCTAGAAGAGATGACTGGAAAGGGGTGCCAGCCAAATGAGAATACTTACAGTGTTCTACTTAATGGCATTGGTTTTCATGGATGGAGATATGAGGCAATCTTTCTGGCAAACACACTTTGCCAAATGAATGTTTTTTCAAAGAAGGCACTACTTGGTTTCCAAAAGACTTTTCCCATTCATGCTTCTTGACAATAACCTTGTTTTCTGTAAAGATCCAATGAAAGAGGACATGTTTTGTTCTCCTAGCTTCATCTTTACCCGGAGGGCTTTCTTTTAATTTTTGTTGTGGTGGTTGGAGATTTGTGGTTGTAGCTGCTACCTGAATGTGCGCTTTGAGTGAAGAATGCCTTGTGAGGGTTTTATTGTGGTCGGAGATGTGTGATTGCAGCGGCTACCGAAGGTGCATTGTGGATGAAGAACGGATTACGAGGAATTGTACTTGGAACCTTGTCGTTATCATACCAACTGTTCAACGAAGAATTGCAATTTCTAGGGTCCCTAGGAATTGCAATTTCACACTTTATGTAATTGTAATTTTATGATAAATTACCATTTTATCCTTCATATGATTATATTATTATTATTATTATTATACAATAATATTTTAATCGAGTTAATTCCAGCAATGGTCCTCTGACTATATTGATTTTCCAAAATTAGTCCTTGACTTTTAATTTGGACACTTTATGTCCCTTGACTTTCAATTTCTTTCCAATTGAGGTCCTTTCGTCAGAATACGGTTAATTGAATTTTAAATGAAGGGGTAAACTCATCATTTCACATGCCTATGTATTATTCTTAGTATTTCTCCATTGTATACGCGATATATATGAAGATAATCTTAGTCAAAACCTTAAAATGTTCCTCGTCGTTCCCCATTTGCTGACTACTCGTGTGTGCGTTTCTCTATTATTGAGATGTTTACAAGGTATAACAGCGAAATACGAAGGGAGAAATACGAAGAATAATACATAGGCAGATGAAAGAACGAGTTTACCCTTCATTTAAAGTCTAATGAATCGTATTCTAACGAAAGGACCTCAATTGGAAAAAAATTAAAAGTCAAGGGACCTAAAGTGTCCAAATTAAAAGTCGAGGACTAATTTTGAAAAATCACTATAGTCGGAGGACCATTGCTGGAATTAACTCTATTTTAATCTTTATTCACGTCTTCTCATTTAATATCATTCTATTCCTTCCTACCAAACAATATAATCTAAATTTTCAATTTATTCTCGGAATTACAATTCATTTCCCCATTGATTCCTTTCTTCCAACTAAACATCATGTATTGCATAATGAAACCTACCACGTGACTAGCACGTGATTATTGGTAACCTTATCTTTACACAATTAATTATCTGAATAACCTGCCATGGACCATGGTCTCCTTGAAGAGCAGCAACTAGCAAGACAGCTTCTGAGAACACAGCTTCCAACTTCCATCCCTTCACAACATTTCCAGGTTCTTTACTTCTTCTTCTTCTACATTCTGCTCAACCATTCATATCCATTTCTCTACCAACATTGAACATCACGAAACCCTAACCCCCAAATGACAATTTCATTTTCCCATCACCTCATCACTCGAACCCCTCCCCTCTTCAAGAAACTTGAGCCCACTACAGATTCTAAACCCACCACCTCTGTACTCAAATTCAAAACCCATGTATTTAGGAACCAAAACCCCACCTTTAATCCACAAAGTGTTAAGCTTTCTACTGAAAGTACAAGTACCCTAATGCAGTCAGATGATTTTACTAGAATGAATCATGAAGAAAGTCTGTATCTTATTGAATGTATGCTAAAGACTGGGTACAACCCAGATATGGTTCTTTGTACAAAGCTCATCAAGAAGCTTTTTAGAGTAAAAAAAGCTGAAAAGGCAGTAAAATTGGTGCAGCTTCTGGAGCAATTTGGTGTGACAAATGTGGCTACTTATAATGCTTTGATAAATGGATTCTGTAAAATGAATAGGGTTGAGGAAGCTAACAGGGTGTTGAATAGGATGAGAACCCGAGGTTTTCCGCCGGATGTTGTTACCTATACCATAATCATAGAGAGTCTTTGTGAGAGGGGGAAGCTAGGATTAGCTTTCAAGGTTTTGGATAAGATGAAGGAAGATGAAAATTATAAACCGGATGTTGTGACATACACGGTGTTGATGGATGCCACGCTCGTTGAAGGGGACATTAACGGAGCAATGGAGCTTCTAAACGAGATGTTATCTAGAGGGCTTGAACCAAATCTATACACTTATAATGCTATCCTTAAAGGATTGTGTGGTAAAGGCATGATGGATCAAGCATACGAGTTTATTGCGAGTTTGCCAGCTAGGGGATGCAAACCGAGTGTAGTTTCATATAATATTTTGTTGAGGGCATCATTGTGCAAGGGGGATTGGGATGGCGGGGAGAAGCTAGTGGACGAGATGTTGTCCATGGGTTGTGAGCCGGATGTGGTTACCTATAGCATCTTGATGATTTCATTGTGCCGAGATGGGAAACTAAACAAGGCGATCAACCTATTGAAGATTATGGCGGAGAAGGGGTTAACACCCAATATATTTATCTATAATCCATTGATTAGAGCAGCCTGCAAGGAGGGAAGACTAGATTTGGCTATCGATCTTTTGAATGACATGATTTCGAATGGTTGCCCACCAATAATGAACTACAATACTATCCTTTCTGCAATGTGTAAAAGTGGGAACGCTGATCTTGCTATTGGCGTCTTTGAGGAACTCTGTGAATCAGGTTGTCATCTTGATGTAAGTGCTTATAATTCAATGATGAGTGCTTTATGGAACAATGGAGAAAGAACGAAGGCCTTGAATGTGGTTCCACTAATGATAGACAAAGGGATTGATCCCAACGAGAGTACGTATAGTACACTGGTTTCGTGTTTAAGCAAATATTCATTGGTGGATGAGGCTATGGTGCTGTTAAAAGATATGGGAAGTTGCAGTATTCCACCTACAGTCCACATTTACAACAGCGTTTTGCTCGGGCTCTGCAAATCTCAAAGATCAGACGAGGCAATTGGTATTCTAGTAGAAATGACTGATAAGGGCTGCCAGCCAAACGAAAGGACTTACATTATACTCATCAACGGCATTGGTTTTCAAGGATGGAGAGACGAGGCAATCGAGCTGGGAACCACACTTTTCCAAATGAATGTTATTTCAAAGAGATCACTACGTGGTTTGAAGAAGTCGTTTTTCCATTCTTAAAGTCTTCTTGTAAATAATATTGCACATTAATGGTTATATGCTCAACACGTCGTAGTCGCTTATGACGTAGAGATTTGAACTGATATCAAAATTGAAGCATGTGCTCCAACTCAACTAAAAGCCTTGTACATTAATGGTTATATGCTCAACAAGTAAATATAAGTAAATATAATATAGGAACCTTCCCACTATACTCTTGTCATACATATATGCACCATCTAAATACTAAAGAGCAACGAGACTGGTTTATTAATTTTCTTGATTTGAATCGATCAGTTATGATCAACCTATACTGGTGATTGACCTCATTGGTTTGAGTCTATCTCAACTTAAATTGATTTACCTTCTTGTGGTACTTTGTCACTTAGGTTTACAAGATAAGATTTACTACCATCGAATAGTTGTGCGGTTACTCTTATCATACAAACAAAATTTGCAGAAATTTTTTTTACCACGTGACTAGCACGTGATCATTCGCGGCCTTATCTTCACTTCTTTATCTGGATAACGTGCCATGGATGTCTGAAGAAAAACTTCAGACTTGCATGCCTTCGTCTTCTTCTTCTTCAGCTCCGTTCACAAGAGTTTTTTCAGGTTCTTTATTTCTTCTCCTGCATTTTTGCTCAATCATATTCACTTCTCTATGACCACTGAACCTCAGGAAACGCTAACCAAATGACAATTTCCTTTTCCAATCAGCTCCTCACTCGCACCCCACTCTTTTTCAAGAATCTTGTTGAACCCACCACAAATCATAAGCACCCCAGCAGCTCCTCTGTACTGAAATGCAAAAAACATGAATTTAGAAACCGAAACCCCCCCACCGTGAATCCACAAAGCGTTAAGGCTTCTTCTTCTTCTTCTTCTTCTTCTTCAGAAGATACACATACTTTGATGCATCTAAATGATTTCATACAACCCGATTTAACAAGAATGAGTTATGACGAAAGTCTGTATGTTCTTGAATGTATGGTGAAGATGGGGTACAAGCCAGATGTGGGTGTCTGTAACAGGCTTATTAAGGGTTTTTTTACAGAAAAGAAAGCAGAAAAGGCAGTGAAAGTGATGGAGCTTCTGGAGCAATTTGGTGACCCAAATGTGGTTACATATAATGCTATGATTACTGGGTTCTGTAAAATGAATAGGGTTGGGGAAGCTAATAGGGTGTTGAATAGGATGAGAATCCGAGGTATTCCCCCTGATGTTTTTACCTATACCATAATCATAGAGTGTCTTTGTGGCAGGGGGAAGCTAGGGTTAGCTTTTAAGGTTTTGGATCAGATGAAGGAAGACAACAATTGTGAGCCAGATGTTGTGACTTACACAATCTTGATGGAGGCTACGCTCCGTGGAGGGGACATTCGGGGAGCGATGAAGCTTCTAGACGAGATGTTATCGAGAGGACTTGAACCGAACATATACACTTATAACACAATCCTTAAAGGGTTGTGTCGAAAAGGCATGATGGATCACGCGTATGAGTTGATTAGGAGTTTGCCAGCTAGGGGATGCAAACCGGATGTGATCTCGTATAATATTTTGTTGAGGGCATGGGTGAATAGCGGGAATGGGGATGATGGCGGGGAGAAGCTACTAAAAGAGATGGTAGCTAGAGGGGTTCAGCCAAATTTACAGACTTATAACTTAGTCCTCATAAGATTGTGTGGTAAAGGCATGGTGGATCAAGGGTATGAGTTTATTAGGAGTTTTCCAGCCCGGGGCTGCAAACCGAATGTGATTTCATATAACATTTTGTTGGGCGCGATGTTGGATAGGGGGAATTGGGATGAAAGGGCGAAGCTAGTGAGAGAGATGTTGTCCACGGGTTGTGAGCCAACCGTGGTTACCTATAGCATCTTGATGATTTCATTGTGTCGAGATGGGGAGCTAAATGAGGCAATGAAGCTCTTGAAGATCATGGTGGAGATTGGGATAACGCCCGATGCATATGTCTACACTCCCTTGATTAGAGCATCCTGCAAGGAGGGGAGGCTCGATTTGGCCATTGATCTTTTGGACGAAATGGTGTCTAATGGTTGCTCGCCCAATACACTCAACTACAACGTTATCCTCTCCGCAATGTGTAAAGATGGACACGCTGACCTCGCTCTTGACATCTTCGAGAAACTCTCTGAAACCGGGGTTCTTCAAGACGTGAGCGCTTTTAATTCGATGTTGAGCGTTTTATGGAACATCGGGGAAAGAACTAAGGCCTTGGATATGGTTTCGCGAATGTTAGACAAAGGGATTGATCCCAATGAGTTCACATATTGTACACTTGTTTCTTGCTTGTGCAAAGGTGGAATGGTGGATGAGGCTATGGTGCTGGTAAAAGATATGGAAAGTTGCAGTTTTCCACCCAATGTTTACATTTACAACATTATTTTGCTTGGGTATTGCAAATCTCAAAGATTAGATGAGGCAATTGGTGTCCTTGAAGAGATGATTGAAAAGGGGTACCAGCCAAATGAAAAAACTTACATTATACTAATCAATGGCATTGGTTTTCAAGGATGGAGGGATGAGGCAATTATGCTGGGAACTACACTCTTCCAAATGAATGTTATTTCAAGCAAATCACTACTTGGTTTGAAAAAGACCTTTCTAAAAGATCAACTCGGAGTAGTCGGTAAACGATCTATTAATGTAATAGCAAGGTCAAAATATTCGGGGTAAAAGTCAAATTCTACGGGTGTGATTTAGATGAATCTAGATTAGTCAGTAGTAGAAATACCAGGTGTTATATGCAACAAGAAAAATGTCCTTTCCCATTCTCGATACTAACATTTTATTCTTTAAAGATCCGATGAATCTTAATAATGATAAATTATTTTTGGTATCAATTAATATTTTTTTGGCTCAAGGTGTCAATTAATATAATTTAATATAATTAATATAAATATTTGTTATTAAATTGTAAATATCAAGGTTTATATATGATTGACATGAAACTAAATCTTTCCAAAAAAAAAAAAAAAAACGTTGTGGGAACACGAGACATTCCACACTTTGAGGGGACACGAGACATTCCACACTTTGAGGGGACACGAGACACCCTATAGTTTGACATAATAACTTCACCTATTTTACATGGTAGCTTCAACTACTCTCCACACCGACTTCATGTTGCCTACATCAAAATACGTTGAACACCAATTGAAGGTTAATCAAAGACTTTCAAATCATTCAAATGACATGTAGTGACTCTCCCATATAGGAGGTCATGAGATTGAGCCTCAATGGAGGCAGTGTTAACTCTTTGTGCTTCAATAAGTTTAAAAAACATTTTTGAGCAGATACTACAATATAATAGAGTCATTAGCATTCAAAAAAAACTTTCAAATCATATATAAGATCAATAGATGCCTGAGCTATAATGAGCAACTTGTAATGTTATTTTTACTTAATGATTTTTTTTTTAAAACTTTTATTTCTTAATTTAAAAATAATTATTTTTAAGAATTAAGGATTAAAAGTGGAAAAAACATAAAATTAAACATTACAGCATTAGTAAAAATATCAACTGTCGCGGCTGGGAGGTTAACGGATAACGCCATTACAGTGGGCTCACAGAGTGGTGGAGTGACAGAAGGAACGAACCGATGATGCCGGCGGCGACCACCGTGGAGGGCGTAGTTCACAGAGTGCCCTATCTCAGAACTGCGGCTCGGAACCCTACTTTCTCCAGTCGGGGCTCCGCTTCTATCCGGTTCCGCGCCTTGTCTTTTTCAGCATCTGCCGCTTCTCCTCCTTCTACGGTGGTGGACGAACAGAAACTCGGACCCGGTTCTCTCGGACACATCACCCGCCCCGACTTCCCCATCCTCCATCAGGTAATTCCTAGCCCCTCTCCTTCTAGAAGACTCTGAAATAGGACTTGCAGAGACTGTTAGGTACTCGAAAATGAGGCGTCAGAATTCGATGAATTCCTTTCAAAATATTGAAGTAATCCTTCGATTCTTTCATTTACGCAAGCTAATCAAAGCAGACTGTAATCTCTATTCTAATACTTGTGGAGTTGACTGTGTTAATAACTATAAATTATGTAGCAATAACATAATCAAGCGCACTTGATGAAGCATACTATGTTTAGTTCGAGTTTTCAAGCTAATTAAATGGATAAATACTGCTATTTCTGTTAAACACGCAATGTAAGGTTATGGATATAATAATTCCAGGAGGTAAATGGCTCAAAGCTTGTGTATTTGGATAATGCTGCGACCTCTCAGAAGCCAACAGATGTCTTGAAGGCATTACAGGCTTATTACGAAGGTTACAATTCCAATGTCCACCGCGGTATCCATTACTTAAGGTGTTCTTCCAGCAAAGCTGTTGTCTTAATTTTGTCTTGTCATTCTTGCTTAACATCTTCTTTGCATAGGCTAATTGTGGAATTTATACTTATTATGGTATGCATAATGGCAGTGCAAAGGCAACAGATGAGTATGAGCTAGCAAGACGTAAGGTGGCAGCTTTCATCAATGCATCTGAATCTAAAGAAATTGTTTTCACAAGAAATGCTACCGAAGCTATTAACTTAGTGGCTTACACGTGGGGACTCTCAAATTTGAAGCCGGGAGATGAGGTCTGTTACCATGCTTGTTTACATTAATAGCAAATACCAGTTAGCATATTTGGTTTGTTTATCTTGAGCCATGGGAGGTGTTTAATATTTGCAGGTCATAGTCACAATAGCTGAGCATCACAGTGCAATAGTACCCTGGCAATTGATTGCTCAAAAGACTGGTGTTATCCTAAAGTTTGTGAGTTTGACGGACAATGAAGTTCCAGATATAATGGAGTTAAAAGAAACACTCTCAAGGAAGACAAAACTTCTTTGTGTTCACCATGTCTCAAATATGCTAGGTGCGCAAGTGCTTCCTTTTATTTATTAGAAGTAGATACTAAGCCATATGAAGGAACACTGAAGAGATCTCTTTATGCTAAAGAAGAAGAAGCTAGGCCACCTATATCTGCTTTTACGCGGTGATATAAATAACTACTTTTGTAATATGCCGAAAATGAAGTTAATGATGGCACAGCATAGAACTTCTTCTCAGCTCCTTCTCTGACTCATCTAACAGCTATCTTATATAACTTTGTTAGTGTTAATGTTCCCATCACCTGCCTTAAAAGACTGGGTTTGATACTTAAGCTTGTTTACACCTCTTGAGCTAGATTATGGGGTGATAACTGAGGGTTTCTAACAGTTATCTTCATTAATATCTAATAAAAAAGGAGATCCTATCAAATGAATTCATATGAGGCTAGTTATTCTAATTTCTGGAGGCATACTAATGTGGACTTACATATGCTGGTCCATGCTGGCAACTTCCGTGAGTTAATATTTTTGATGTATTGTTAACTTTATCCTCGCAAGTTTTTATATTTCGTCTATTATTTATCATGCCAAACTTGACCTCACTTTTATCCAAGTAATATAATAGCTTGCACTCTTTTCTGCCTCTTCATTTTCCAAGGCTCCATCTCATTGCTGCCACTCCGTCTTATTTAGTTATTTTATGCAGCTTCTCTGCTTCCAATTGAAGAAATTATAAGTTGGGCACATGATGTTGGAGCAAAGGTGCTTGTAGATGCTTGCCAAAGTGTGCCACATATGGTAGTTGACGTTAAGAGCCTAGATGCTGATTTTCTTGTTGCTTCATCTCATAAGGTGAGATCATTGTCCTTCACTTTAACATCTAATTTTGCTACTTGAATTTAAGGACTAATAATGCTTCAGATCATCAGATGTGTGGGCCTACAGGCATTGGATTCTTGTATGGTAAGAGTGAACTCCTAACTGCTATGCCTCCATTCCTGGGTATGTATCTTAGATATCTAATTCTACTCTTCATTTGCATGCGATTTGCTTTCTTGATTAGAATTTTATGTACTGAAGCACTCACTTTCAACTTTCCTGAGTACAGGAGGTGGTGAAATGATAGCCGATGTATATTTGGACCATTCAACTTATGCTGAGCCACCATCCAGGTTGGTGCCATATGTGATATTGATGGAAAATTAACATGCTACTCTGTGCAGGAAAGCCTGACATTTTTCCAGGGCTCCACTTGAGAACCTTATGCCTTTTCTTTTAAAACTATTAAGAGTTATACTTAATTGATCCCAAACACAAATACCAGAAGAAAAGTAATTTCCATCTTTATTGCATCATTTCCCCTCTCCAAAATTCTTCCTAGTGCGTCAATATTTGTATCTATTTAGGGTGTGTTTGGTTCGCACATGGGAATCGGAATTGGAATGGGTATCAAATACTTGGTAGTGGTAATGGGTTTTGGTGAAAGTATTTAACATGTTTGGTAGTAGGGTGGAATGGAAATAGTTACTATAATAGTAGTGCTTGAGAATGAATAAGGGAATGAAACCCTTATTTTATTTGGGTATGGGTTTTTCAATTGATGGGGTATTCGAAACCCATAGTAGTGTTCTAAAAACCTATTAACCAAACAATAACAATCACTTTCATACCCATTCCTATGGGCAAAACCCATCAACCAAACACACCCTTAGTGTTTAGGCAATAGAAGTTCAGTTAGCTAGTTACTTAATAAAGTACCTTACATATATGCGTGTATGTGTGTGTACTAAATCGAATTACTTTTGTCATTCCATCTGTTATTGGGGATCAGATTTGAGGCTGGAACACCTGCAATTGGAGAAGCTATTGGGCTTGGGGCAGCCATTGACTATCTGTCTCAAATAGGCATGCAACGAATTCATGATTATGAGGTGTGCACACTTCCTGGCATATCAAGTGCTATTTCTTCCAGAGAGAGTTGATTTATTCATCTATTTTATTAAATATTAGATGACAGTTTGATTTATTTTATACCTCAAGTATGACCGTGGACTTAGATATTCTCTTTGTACAATCATTTCTCAGGTGGAGCTGGGTCATTATTTATATGATAGCCTCCACTCAGTACCCAGTGTTCGTATCTATGGTCCTGCACCATCACAAACTGTAAAGCGGGCGGCTCTTTGTTCTTTTAATGTTGAGGATGTCCACCCAACAGATATCGCAACTTTCCTTGACCAACAGGCATAATAAGAAAAGACATTTTTGGTGAGAATATATAAGCATTCCTTCATGAACTCTGATTTACTAACAACTTTGTCTAATCTCTGCAGCATGGTGTAGCTATCAGATCTGGTCACCACTGTGCTCAGCCTCTACATCGCTGTTTGGGAATCAGTGCGAGCGCACGCGCTAGCCTTCACTTCTACAACACTAAAGAGGATGTCGATCACTTCATAGATGCACTGAAGGACACAATCAGTTTCTTCAGTTCTTATAAATGATTGTTCTAAATCGGGTTTCTGATCTGTTGTCCAAATGTATACTTGGCCCATGATTTGGCATCACTTGTAAAATGGATGTGTTTTCATTTTTGTCCTTTTCACGGGCATCATCTTGTCCAGTAGAAAAGCTCATTGTAGTATAACAACTTTTCGTGAACGTTCTTAAATTAATTTCATAAGCATTTCTAGATAAACAAGCACTCTGTATTTGTCTAGTATAATACATAACCTTCTTTTCATTAACAGAATGTTATTCATGATCTCTGTACAACAATGGCATTTTGGAAGTTCAGAAGTAGACTTGACAAAGCTACCTACATGCTACAGAGTAACAGCTTAGCTTGTCTTTGCATCTCACACTGCCACACTGGGCATCATGGGCATATTGGGAATTTGGGATTCACTTGTGCAATACACTCTTCTTGGGCAGCTTGGCCTTCTTCTGAGATTGGTTCTGCAAAAAGATCAGAACATCACAAAAATCAGGTCAGCAAAACAAGGATTGATAGGTGAATTTGTAAATGACCCAATGCAGTGTTCTAACCTTTTGCCTTTCTAGAGCTTCATAGTCAATCCTGTCTTGCCACCTACTCTTCCGAAGCTTGATTGGTCGATTTCCAACATATTTGCCTGAAATAAAAATGTTGTTTTGTCATCATACATTCATATGGGCCACAAATTACAATACTGAAGCAAGCAAGTTAACACCATTAGACCATAAAAGCATCCATATCAAAGCTTTTTTGGTGAGATTTTGGAACACTACATGATGAGATGGAGGAGAGAGAATGCATGAGAGAGGTTTTCTCTGCAAGGGAGGGGTTTTTTGCAGAATTGTCGGACCCACTGAAAAAATGGCCCAACCACCGCGTAGCTTCCACAAGCGCGTCAAGCGCTCTTGACATTTTTTTTATTTTTAAAAAAATCAGATTTTTTTTTTCTTTTTCTTTTTCTCTTCCCTCCCATTTTCTCTTTCCTAATCACACTTAGGAAAACTCCTCGAAACCACAAAAAAAAAACTCCACTATTATGGATGCTCTAAGAGCCATTTATATTATATCCTCATGCACAAGTAATATAGTGGGCATGCATTTCCAATTACCAATGACTTGGTCACTTAATCGATTCTACAAGGAATGACTAGCCCTCAGAGAAATATGCTTCGGTACAAGGAATATTTTGAACACTTCCTTTAAAAAAAATCATACACAAACTACTCAAACCAGATCCTGAATTCCAGTGCAAATGAAGGTAACAACTACCATTCAAGAAATCAACTAGAAAGGCTAGGGAAAGTGTACAACTAAATGAAAGTAATTGTTCCATACCATATCTGCTTGTTGTCATCTTGATTATCTAGCTATGAAAAGCCTCATGCTCTGAATGACTAATTGAGATAGTGAATAAGGTAAACACAACATGAGGGCTATATCTGTGCATGTAGAAATATTACTTACCATTCATTTCTTTAAGGGCTGCTGCAAGGTCTGAAGGGTTGGAAAAACTTACAAATCCATAGCCTTTGGTTTTACCTGTCCGCTTATCTCGCACAACCTGTGATGATATTGCACATACAATCACCAATAATTATGAGATTTCAACATATAACCACATATTAGACATTATAAAGCTAGACTTTTTTAACCTTTTTGTAAGTGGGAAGCAGGATATAAAAGTGGCCCAGCAGTTAGATACACAAGCATAAAAATCTAGGGCATTAGGGCAAAATCACAAACAAAATAAATAGATCAACAAGCAAATCAAAATGTGTAAGCATCATGATTGACACAATAACACTCTAAAATTATATATGGGATGAAGATCCAGCCAGTATCTTATCATAGGTATGGCCACATTCACCATACAGCTTTAGTTGTTATAACTCCACCAGTTCCATAACTCATGAACTAATTTGGAAGATACATAGCAGAATTATAATTCCATTCAGAAGAAAAAAATCTGCAATTGTCATTAGCTTCAGATTAATGAACTAAAAAAAATCACCAGCAGCACTGCCAAAACAAAAATCAAAGAGAGTTCTACCTTAGCGCACAGGAGACATTTGAGGGCTCCAAGCACTTGAAACAAACATCTGAAAAGTACCAACCAAAAACATCTACAAAGCTACTGTAGTAAGAAAATATGAATGGTGTTCTAGAAGACTTACCCTGGCCATGTTAAATGAAGGAAATCTTGAAAATGCTTTTGATAAGACATCATCATTCACCTCATTTCCAAGATCACCACAAAATAGACGATGATCATCTGAAAAACACAATAATACAGTGAGATCACAGAACATCTTTTCATAATCCAGAGTGAAAATTAAAAATGAAAACATCTGAAAAAGAATTGGTTCTAGCATCAAAAGTAGGTCCGTTTTCCAAAGTCAAAAGTGCTTTGAACATCAAAATAGAGAGTTGCTAATCTTTCCAAAAAGCATTACCTGTCTCTCTCTAGAGCTCCATTATCAAGTGTTACTAAAAAAAAAATCCTTTAAAAGCAACATTCCGTTCCCCATATATATATATATATATATATATATATATATATATATATATATATATATACACACACACACACACACACACACAAGTCAAAAGTGCTCTGAACATCAAAATAGAGAGTTGCTAATCTTTCCAAGAAGCATTACCTGTCTCTCTATAGAGCTCCAATATCAAGTGTTCAAAAAAAAAACCTTTAAAAGCAACATTCCATTCCCTGTGAGTGTGTGTGTGTATACACACACACACACACACACATATATTCTGATTCTTTTATCCTCCAAGAGGAACATGAAATGAGTTTATGTTGCCTACAGCATTAATACCCATTTAAAACACTCCTGCAATGGGTTTCACGCAAAATCTGAGATTCAGAGCATAGAAAGTTACTTATATATCAAGCACAGAGATGTAATTTGTTGTTCTAGACAAGTAATTGTAAACTTATGTATGATAGTAGATTGTCTATAATTCATTTCTTATCACATTTCCCTACTTTCTTGAGTTTCTTCACTTTAAACCTCATTGCAAAGCTGAATTGTTAAAACAGAAACTCTCACATATTCCCAAGTGGTCCAAAGAAATGAAAGAATCAGTTAAATTTCCCTATAACTACTGCCAGAATGAAATAGATAAGTAAGAAGCATACTTTCTGGCCAATCAGCAAGGGTAGGATCCTCCCAAGTTTGCCCAGCAGCTTTACGGGGCACTGCTTTCTTCTTGGCCTCAGCTTTGTGCTCAATTTCACTGCTTGCAAGTGCAGCTTTCACATTCTGAAGCGCTTCTGGTGTAATTGTCTGCGCAACCCTTTGAAACAACTGCTGTGCCTGTACATAGGCTCATATGTAAAAAATGCACAATAAAGGCATATGTTACCATTGAAGGCTCTGAAGCTGTGCATATGAATGATAAAATTTGCAATTCCACACAAAAGTAGAACGTGTATTTCAGCAGCATATAAATCATCTTACTTTTTTGTTGAATACCATTATGGAGAAGTGGAAATTAATTTTTTTTTTTCAAAAAAAAACACTTATTTTACTCTAATATTCGATAATTAGAATTCTTACTTGTTGGTATTGAGCTAAAGGGGTACCAGGGAGAGGAACAGGAGCAGGATACACGGCGGCGGCACCGATGTAAGGCTGCGGCGGTTGTTGGAGGTGAAATGGCGTCGGAAAGTAGGTCCCATTGGCGTAGTTGTACTGCGAAAAGGAAGAACCGGTAGCCGCCGGAGTCAAAGGCACCGTCGACATAGCGTAGACCGGCGATCAATTGTCGAAAATGGCGACGTCCGATTAGAATCAAAGAATTCGCGAGGGAAACGCCTCTGGAACAACGGATACACGTTTGCGCTGAATTTCAGTTATGAAATGAAACGAGAATGTAGAAAAATCTAGAATCTACGCGATACAATATTCCAGATATGGGCCGCGACCCAAAGTAATTGGTCCATATAGCAAAGCCTGGAGAAAAATAATTCCAAATATAGGCCCACCCCAACATAATTGGGCCGTCATAGCAAGAGCCCATTGAAAAGGAATTTCAAATACGGGACAGACAAGTTTCTAACAGCCCAATTGGCGACGTATAAATTCTGTATTTTTAGTATTAAAATTGTGACTTTTTAGAAAATAAATTGTATTTCTAAGTCAAAACACATAACAATTATAAAAGGGAATTTGTGAATACAATACACCGGTGAAATTGGCAACATGTTTTTCTCTTTGTCTAATAAAATAAAAACTAATATTTGAATTTACATAATCAATTAGCTTAAAGTAAATAATAGATTTATTATATATACATAATCTAGATTAAATTCTATAATCTACGTAGTAAATCTTGATAATGGTATAATTTGGATTTTTTTTGGAAGAGGGATAAGGATTCGTGTTTGTCTTATACAACATGTCACGCAGGACTACGCGTAAGCCCCACAAGTCTTCCCATAATCCCATTCATAGGCATCACAATCTCACGGTCATGCCGCAATTTTCTTCCTCTTACGCCAAAACGCATAATAAACGTTTCAACTTTCAATTCAAGATATTATAAGACCAATATAATTCAATTAACCATATACATTATACCAACTTTTCTTTCCTCTATTGGTGCTTCTAGAAGGTGATTATACTGTTTCAAATGCTCTAGAGAAAAATATCTTAATAAATTACAACAACAATTATTTGAATATTCATCACTTCAATGACAAATTTTTTAATCAAATGATAAGAATCTTGTGAAAATGATTGGTGTAGTCTAATATTGTTGTTATATTTTTCTAAACGGGTTAATTTCATAACATAACAACGGGTTAATTTCATAATATATATATATATATATATATATATATATATATATATATATATATATATAGTGGCGGAGCCAGAAAGTCGGGGTTGGGGGGGCCAAATTTATAGAGAAAATTTATCATCTTAGTGTCATTTACCACATATGATTGTGTCATTTATTATTGATAATTATTTTTAATTATACTATGTGCAATAATATATGAAATATATGATTATATGAGTACGATCATTAAGATTGTCAAACATTACTTTTGAATTTTTGTACATAACACAAAAATTATACAATAGTAAAAAATAAGAAAAATTACACTTATAATCACTAAGTTATAGGGTAATTGAAGAATTCATAATTATTAGTCGTGCTTACTTTTCGTCCCGAAAATATACTCCGTAATTGATGTTGCAAATTTTGTCCTTTTACTAACAAAACATTAGGAACAAAGTATAGCTTAGAAAGACAAAGTGACTGCAACTTGTTATTAAAAGGACGAAATTTACAATGTCAATTATAGCTTAGGACGAAAAGTGAACACGACCAATAATTATAGACGAATTCTACAATTATTTCATAATTTAGGGACGAAAAGTGTAACTTTCGAGTTCATTTAATATATACATAATAGATTATTTAAAAAAAAAATAGGAGGGGGCCGAAAGTGTAATTTATCCATATTATAATAATATATACCTATATATTTACTAAAAATGGGGGTGGGGTGAGGGGGGCCCCCCTTGGGGTAGGGGTGGCTCCGCCCATATATATATATATATATTTAATATATACATAATAGATTATTTAAAAAAAAATAGGAGGGGGCCAAAAGTGTAATTTATCCATATTATAATAATATATACCTATATATTTACTAAAAATGGGGGTGGGGTGAGGGGGGCCAGGGCCCCCCTTGGGGTAGGGGTGGCTCCGCCCATATATATATATATATATATATATATATATATATATATATATATATATATATATATATATATATATATATATATATATATATATATATATATATATATATATATATATCACCACCGCCACTAGCACCATCAACACCACCACCACTAGCACCACCAACACCACCGCCATCGCCATCGTCGCTGCCGCCACCGCCATTGCCATCACCACCACCACTGCTGCCGCCGCCATCGCCGCCCCCGCCACCGCTACCATCGCCACCACCACCATCGCTGCCACCGCCACCACCAACACCACATATTTTTATAAGGGTATTTATGTATTTTAAAACATATATCATTTCTATTCCTTAAACCAACCAAACACTGTAATATAATCCATAAAGTATATTCCTTTCGTAAACCAAACAATATAATACAATTCCTATTATATTCCTTGCCTATCCCATTCCTTATGGAATAACATTCCTATCACCTCAAAATTCATTCGGTGAACCAAACGTGCGGTTCAAGGATATAAAATGACAGTGGTATAATTTTGGGTTTAAGAATAAAAAACGATAGATGGTATACTGGGCTTGGGCCACATGGGTCAGCCTAATAAAGTAACTGGATCAAAAAAGTCCAAGAAGGATACACAGTACCATACAACTTGGGAGTTTAATAAGGATTGAACTTAGTATTCATAATGTAATAGAAATTGGACTCACTATTCCTAATATCGTAGGATTAGGGGCTTAGTATTCTCAATGTAAAATGGCTCCCAATATGAGACAGCATTATTATTCCTTGTAGGGTTCTAAGCCAAAAATATGAATAAAAAGATCCCATACATTTACCACTCTTTACATGTAATATTTACAAATACAAAATACCTATATTTGTTATTTGAACGGTAATGTTGGCTAGCTGTTAACTATTCAAAAGTCATAAAATTAACAAAAAGTATTACAATATTCTCTTATAAGAATAAGTCATAAACCTTTCTTTTTGGTGCAACTTTTTACTCAAGAATTAATTGAGCTACTCGTAAGGGTTTTATAGAGCTTTCCTAAATTGTAATTTGTAATACTTTATTATTTTCTTTTTATAAAATATTTGGTGGGGAAAGTTGCTTTGCTTAACTTTTTGTTGCCTTAATGACTGGTAGCATACCAAAGCTAAAAGTCTAATAAGTTTTATTTGGGGAAGGGAATGAAAATTGGTCACGTAGCAGTTGAGAAGTGCATCGGTTTCCAGGGAAACTGTTGGGTGCCCATAGATTAGGTTTGCTTGTTTTTCTTGAACCCAGGGTTCTTCATCCAATTCTTTTTGTTTTTAAATTTATTTTATTATTCATAATTGATCGGTTCATAATCATCCCTGCAGAAGAAATTCAGACATTGCGTTTATCCAAAATAATAACAAAGTTGACAAGACAACTGAATTCATCTAAACTGGATCTCCTCTTTAATTTATCTCCTTTTTTGTGATCATGAATTCAATATAACTAAATGCAATGTTTTTGAGGTGGTGATGATAATTTCACAGCAGAAGGAACTAGAGAGTCATCTGGTTTTTGGTTTTGGTCGGATAAAAATTGGTTTCTGGTTTCCAGAGGTGTCAATTTGGGTGGGGTTACCATTCTCTGTTACTGTTACTCGTTTAGGGTTAGGGTTAGGGTTTGTTTTAGATCTGCTCTATGATGTAAATATTATATAACGTACACACACACACTCACGCACATTATATACGGCATGTTTTGTGATTGTATCATTTGTATGGTGCTGTTATGTTTTTTTTTTTTTGGTTTTTTGTTTTTGTTTTGTTTTGTTTTGTTTTGTTTTTTGGGTTTTTTTTTTTTTGTTTGTTTGTTTTTTTTTTTTTTTTTTTTTTTGTTTTTTGATACTGAATTGTGATTGTTGTGTGGTGGAACATGTAGGTGTTTTAAATTGGAGTTTGATCTGCTTTGGGTCACCCTGCTATTTTCATTATTGGATCAACCATATGTAAGTATGTAATTTTCAATGTAATTCTTTTGCAAACTTGCTTTCTGAATTAAGGAATTCAATTCTACTATGTTGATCATCATTCAATGTTGACATTAGGTAATTTGAGATTATTAATTTTGATCTGGTGAATGATCTTGGTTTGCCTGTAACTTTTGGGTTCACTATTACACCAACAGACTATTCTCCAAATCAGAATTTAAGCTTACTTTTTGTTATTGATCTTGCGTTAAAGAAATTATTGTGAAGATAACATGAGTTTTAGTATCTGTTGAAATGTGGTTACTTATATTTATTCGTAGAGATGTTAACATCTGATATATTTTATAACTGCGAATTATTTGAGGGGCCATGATAATAATTTCTTGGTACATTGTATGATCGTCATGGTGACTGAAGTTGTTTGAAGAAAATGTGTTTCTTGCGTTGGTATCTGAGATAGTTTCATTGCCTCTACAGACTTCATGGGGACCGAACTTGTTAGACATTGTGTCAAGGAAGAGGCTATGGACATCTCCACAATTCCTCCTGGCTTTGAATCACTTGCATCCATGCTTAAAAAGGTGGATAATGAAAATAAAACAAGTTGCTCAACCCCTGCAAGTGACTTGCAATTGCAGAGATCCAAGATGGAAACAGATTGTGAGCCTCTGGAGGGTGTTAAAATGAAGCCTCAAAGACGGCGACGGCGATCAGAGATAAAATATGACCAAGTTGTTAACATTTCAGAAGATGAATCTGACTGCGAGCAGGTTGAGACTCTGCTGCGTTGCAATAATAACTATTTTCAAATTTGTCTTAGTTTTGTATCTGTTCTTATTCCTTATTTGTACCTGCAGAACATCTCTTTAAGGTCTCATCTTCCAAAAGGGGTTGTCCATGAATGTGAAGATAGTGTCAATTGCCCAAAGGTTTAAACTATAACTATTTTTCGCCTCTCTCTCTCTCGTTGTGATTCAATAGAATATAATTTTTTCTGCATGTCTAGATTAGTGGATCATGTTTTTGATGTTGTAAATAGAGATGGACAATTTCACATACTATCCAGGATTATTTTTTTTACAGTGCTTTCAATCGATTATGTTACAAAGCCCACCCCCAAACTAGCTTTGAACATAAAAGCAAACATTGAAACACAATCCTAATATAAATTCCGATAATGAGATTTAGTTTACCAATCCATGAGTATTTATTATCTGTGTGTCAAAACAGGTCACTGCACAATGGCGTCCAGAAGGAGCTTGCAGGCCTGATGTTCAGGATGCTCCAGTGTTCTATCCAACTGAAGAGGTTATTGCTGTCAATTGTTATACTTGCTTGCCCATTTTCCCCTACCCTTCCCTTACTTTCCCTTACCTTACATATCTCTACTTGTTTCTATTACCTATTATGTCAATTTTTTTTTTTTTTTAAATTTATTTCAAATATTATGCTCCATGTTATGAGATCTCAATTAATTTCCAGGAATTTGAAGATACTCTAACATATATAGAGAGTATACGGCCCAGAGCAGAAGCATATGGAATTTGCCGTATTGTACCTCCTGCTTCATGGAAACCTCCATGTCCTCTAAAGGAGAAGAACATATGGGAAAACACCAAATTTATTACTCGTATACAAAGGATTGACAAACTTCAGAATCGGGATCCAATGACAAAAAGAATAAAAATTAATCATTATAAGAAAAAGAAAAGAAGAAGATATGCTAAAGCCGATATCAGGGCTCATGGTGAGGCTGCAAATGACGAGTCTGAGAGATTTGGGTTTGAAACTGGTCCAGAGTTTACTCTGGATTCATTTCAGAAATATGCTGATGATTTCAAGGCCCAATACTTCAGAAAGAATGAAGCGCAATGGGAGCCCTCAGTGGAAAATATTGAGGGGGAATATTGGCGTATGGTCTTGAAGCCCACAGAAGAAATTGAGGTATCATTTTTATAGATTTTTCATTGGGTGTCTACGTGTGCAGGTGTGTTTGCCCCTATGTTGCATAGGCTATTCATTTCCAAATTATAATAAGGGTCGGCCCTAAGCAAGGGCGGGCTGGCGTCTTGCCTAGGTCCCAATGCTTGGAGGGGCCCTTGTTAGCCGAAGAGTTTATTTATTTATCACTAAATAAAGTTTTTAAATAACTGAAGATTTGAACCTATGACCTCAAAATTATTCTTCCCAATTAAGCACCACAATCTTTTGAATTAATAATGCAATTAATATATATATGAAAAGGTAAAGGACAAGGGCGTGATTTTTTTGGAGTCGGTGAACTGTTCATACTTCATGTGCATTAACTTCATATATTAAGCACCCCCACCCCACCCCGCTCTGTTTTTTTTTTCCACTATGGCCCATGCCTATAAAATGATACTACGATAGGACCGGCCCTGATTATAATTTGCGTTTATGTATATTGTTTTGCATTTGTGAGGCTTTATAACTTACGAATTTAATCCATTCATCCCTTTTTTTTTTGTGCTTTCTAGGTGCTTTATGGTGCTGACTTGGAAACTGGAGCCTTTAGCAGTGGGTTTCCTAAACAACCCCATCAAATAGGTTCTGCTTCTGAGATGAAATACATAAATTCAGGATGGAATTTGAATAACTTCCCCAAACTTCCAGGTTCAGTGCTTTCATATGAGAGCAGTGATATATCTGGTGTTCTTGTGCCCTGGCTGTATGTAGGAATGTGCTTTTCCTCTTTCTGTTGGGTAAGGAAGCTTCCATCCTTGCTTGGAATAAATACTATATCAAGATAATGCAAACAACATAGATGACTTTTGAATATCAATACCTAGTTTGTTGTTTGTTACTATTCTAGATTTTTCTCCCTCTTAAGGGTTTCATAGAACCAGCTTTCTATTATTTGTTATTAATGTGAATTGTGAATATTTATTAATGGCTGGTTTCGATTCTCTTTTCTTTTGAATTAGGCTTTAATGTAGATTGCTGTGTTAGGGTCAAAGTGTTTGATAACTGTTGGTATATAATATCTTTAAGAAAGTAGTAACATAGTGGTTCAAAGTTTCTACATTGTATGGTTAAAATTTTCATATTCCTTTTTAATGTTACAGCATGTTGAAGATCACCATTTATACTCTTTGAATTACATGCATTGGGGAGCTCCAAAAATGTGGTATGGTGTTCCTGGTGTAGATGCTCCAAAGCTGGAAGCTGCTATGAGGAAACACTTGCCTGACCTCTTTGAGGAGCAGCCAGATTTGCTTCATAAGCTGGTGAGAAGAACACATCTATACAACTTTATATATCCAGATCTTTCATTGGATGTCGGTTACATTTTTTCTTCTTTTCCTGCTTTTATTTTTCATTTTAAAATTTTGGGGTGATTTTGGGCAACTAGCTAAACTTTCAATCTTTGGTGAGTGGTAAACTACCATTTAACTCCAATGCTTGCCAGAAGAGTTAATTTCTTTTCATGGGAAGTGAATCAAGTGATTTCACATTGAATATTTGCAGTCTTAAACAAGATATGTGTTTCCTTCCATCATGGTATTTGATTGTCTGGAAGTTCCATTCTTAAAAATCTTAGTTATATGCAGGTAACACAACTTTCCCCTTCCATACTGAAGTCTGAAGGAGTGCCAGTTTATCGATGTGTTCAAAACTCTGGGGAGTTTGTTCTCACCTTCCCTCGAGCATATCATGCTGGTTTCAATTGTGGCTTCAACTATGCTGAAGCTGTAAATGTAGCTCCAATAGATTGGTTACCCCATGGACAGACTGCTATTGAGCTCTATTCTGCTCAAAGCCGCAAGACATCCATTTCACATGATAAACTTTTGCTTGGTGCAGCAAGGGATGCAGTTAAAGCACAATGGGAACTTAGTTTACTGAAGAAGAATACTTCAGATAATATGAGATGGGGAGATGTTTGTGGACAAGATGGGGCATTGTCTAAAGCATTAAAGGTAAAGATTTGTTTCTATGTTTCCTTTTCTTCCTATATGTGGATTTGTGCAATTTGGTATTACTTCATTCAGTAGTTCATAATTTTGAGTGATTTGTAATAGATTCCTAGTTGGTTGGTTATGGAATGTCAGAGAAATTAGTATAGCAAAAAATAAAGGAAAAACAATGCTTTCGTGTAATTTTTTTCCCCTTTGATTTGTTTACCAAATGATGAATTTTCGAAGCTGAATAACTAAATTCCTGTTATGATGTGGTGCAATATGCAATGGAGAAATAGTTTGCTAATTTCACCATTCGTAACATTTTGTGTAGGCTCGTGTTGAGATGGAACGAGTTAGGAGGGAATTTCTCTGCAATTCCTCAAAGACATTAAAGATGGAGAGCACTTTTGATGCTGATTGTGAGAGGGAATGCTGTGTCTGCTTTTTTGATCTGCATCTCTCTGCAGCAGGATGCCACAAATGCTCACCTGTAAAATATGCATGCTTGAATCATGCAAAACAATTGTGTTCATGTTCTTGGGGTTCTAAATTCTTCCTTTTTCGTTATGACATTACTGAGTTAAATGTGTTGGTCGAAGCTTTGGAGGGGAAACTAAGTGCAATATATCGATGGGCAAAGCAAGATCTGGGACTGGCCTTGAGTTCATTTATAAACAGAGAGAATAAGGTTCCCGGGCTCATGGGTAAGTTATCTTGCTCTTCTGCAGGATTGGGAACAAAAGAGGTAAATTCAATACCGGTTGTAGCTTCTTTACCACAAGAGAAGAAAGAGGAGAAGGGTGAGGAACTCTTGAAAGCAGTTAACAGCACCTATACCTTGCAGAAAGATAAACCGCATGGTGAGCCAGTGTCTTCTGAAAAGAAGCTGTCTTTGGCAGTACAAAATTTTCTCCGTGGAGTCAAGGAAACAAACAACAGTTTCCAAAAAAGAAGCGAAGGATCCTCAAAGTTGCTTCCTGGTAAACAAACTCAAGTTAGTCAGATTTCCCAAGAGTGTTCATCATCCAATAAAACCTTATGTACAGATAAGCCTGCAGTAAAAACTTCAATTCCCCAAGATGATGAGGTTATTGTCCTCAGTGATGATGAGACAGAGAAGCCAAAGATAACAGTTCTTGGGAAAGCAAAGGATGTTCCTGAAAAGTGTAAAGTTGGCTCAAGTTGCAGTGATTTAGTGCCCATCTCGACTGTCTCCACAAGTAATTCTACAATCAGTGGAGAAAGAATTAATTCTTCGTATGTACCCAGCTGCATAAAAGCTGAGAATGCTCAAGCGGAAACAAGTCATGCTCTACAAAGTCATTCCCTCCATGACATTGTGCCTTCCAATGTTGATGCTAATAAAAATGTTGAGGGTCCTCAGAGAGCGGATAGTCAAATGCAACATCTGCAACCATGTGAAAGCAAACCCAATAACGAAGATATTCCTAAGAAATTCGATGTTGATGGCAAGTCAAGGTCAATGGATAGTGCACAATCTCTATTGTCTCCCTCTCAAAATAATTCTGACAGATATTTCCGACAAAAGGGTCCTCGCATTGCTAAAGTGGTGAGAAGAATCACTTGCATTGTTGAAGCTCTGAATTTTGGAGTTATCCAGCCTGGAAACTTATGGTGCGACACTCGGGCTATTTACCCGAAGGGTATGATCCTTGAATCTCTCTTGACTTTTATGCAAATATTTAAAGTCAATAGTAAGTAAGCTTTCTGGTTATGTCTTGTGCAGGATTTCGGAGTCGTACCAGATATATAGATGTTTTAGATCCAACAAACATGTGCTACTATATTTCTGAAGTTCTGGATGCAGGACGAGATGGACCTTTGTTTATGGTAATTGAATGTTTTGCATAATTCACGTCATACACCAGATTACACACCTTAATTTAGTATGCCTTCTTTATACCGTGAGCAAAATAAGATATTGGGGTTGGACACGTGAAGAATATTTACTAGGCTCTTTTAGTCTGATAATCGAATTATTTTTCAGGTCTCCTTGGAGCATTGTCCAAGTGAAGTATTTATCCATGTATCAGCAGCCAATTGTTGGAAAATGGTTCAGGAAAGACTGAACCAAGAGATTGCTAAGCAACGTAAGTTAGGAAAGACAAACCTTCCTCCACTTGTACCTCCTGGAAGTCTTGATGGCATGGAAATGTTTGGTTTTTCTTCACCGGCAATCATGCCGGTAAGCCTATCGAACTTAATACTGTTCCTTTCTCAAGCACATTTATCCAAGACACATCTTAGAATGTCCTTTAGTTAGCGTGCCTCTGAACAGTTAAATCTGTATCAGAGACATATTACAATATCCATCAAAATCAATAATAGTTCTATGGCTTAGGAAACTGAAGTTGACACCATAACCTCTGCAGGTTCTTCAAGCTCTGGACCGAGACAGAGTGTGCAAGGAGTACTGGAAATCACGGCCACTTTCGCAGATTCAACAAGGTTCTGCGCCTGGAGACAACCTGAAACCGACACCAAAACCAGAGGTCGATAACGAAGCTGGAAAACGCCATCTTCTACCCACAGGAGCTTATGCAACACTTGCTGGCCTGTTTAAGAAAGCTAACCCTGAAGAACTTCAGGCACTATACAGTTTATTAAACAACAATCCCTCGCCTTCTGATCAAGGATTAGTGGCTCGGGTTCTTCTTAGTGATGAGATTCATAGACGGGGTAGATGATGATTCAATTTTGTCATAGAAAGAGGTTTTTATCAGTAAGTACTTTGGCCCCCCATTATATCTCTTTTCCTAATTGATTTGCAGCATAAACCCTGTGAACTGTGAAGATTCAGTATAGTCTCATGCACTGTACAGTAGTAGAACAGTAGAATGACATTGCTAGGCTGCTGACAGCGGATTTGGGCTCATTTTTTTAAAATGTAAACTGTAGAGAATGAGAAAATTTTGGGATGAATTCAAGTGACTAATTTTTCAAATGCCATTTTCCAATGTTAGCTGTTTTAATTTAAAGGATCTCAAATAACGGAAATCCTATGAATAAGGTGTAATATAGGCTATGTTTATCAGTTAATTTTGGCTTATTTGACCACTATTAACTGTTTGATTTGGTTAAACAATTAATACGAGTGTTTGGTTAATTAGTTTTTTTTTTGTAATAGCTTATTACTTTAAAATGTTAAAATTCAAAAAGTTATTTAAAAGTAATTTTTTTGATTTAATTTTTTAAAAAATTAATTTTGTATGTAATCAACTAACAACTAGTTAAATTTATTAACTCAATCAGTTAACAACTAATAATTATTTATTAAACACTCCCATAAAAAAAAAATACCTCTTTGATGATTTTTAATTGACCACACTTGGGTTAATGTGAGAAAATAAAAACGATAAAAAGAGTACTATATTTACGAGTTGGGTTACAAAATAAAATAAAGGAACAATTTAAACCCAAATGGTCCAACTTATAAGTCCAATTAAGGTGAATTTGACTAATAAAGAAGACGGTTGCAAAGTGTCAATAACTAAGTAGCTATTAAACTTCCTGCCAAGTCACCACGTCGTGCAACAAGGCACGAGGACCCTTCAAAGCCATGCATTGCACCCATAGTTGTCGTTGACCACCATTGGTTAGGCTTGATCGGTGTTACAATGACTCACCAAACATCGGTGAATAGCTCAATTGGCCAATCTGAGGGGCAAGGCTACCCCTGAACCTTGCCTCCATCCTTAGTTGGGCGATGCTGGCCTACCATGATTCGTGTAAGCGTCTTTATCGATCAGTGTATGTCACTTGTAACAATTATTTATTTGTAAAGTATTATTATACAATATTATTAGCATTCAAAAAATTACATAAAAAAGAGTGAAGAAGAAATTCAAGAAGAAAGGACCACATAAGCCCACACCAAACCATGTTATTATTAAAATTTTGGATGTCTCCCAAACATAAAAAATTAGGAGATAATGATGACAACCCCTTAAGTAGCAACATACGAAAATGCCGAAGATGGAAAATGCGGGGATTGTACGGACAAAGTATGTGCAGGTGTGCCTAGGGGTCGCATCTGGATCGTACGTACGAGAAGCCACCAATGCTTCAGCCGGGGTGCAATCAGAAGCGTTGGATTTTGCGTAGGGAAGAGCGGAAAGGGTGCCGCTCGACAAGCGCTACATGATTGCTGCCACGTGGGAAACATGACCGAAGGGAGCACGTGTCACCTCCACGGAGATTGCGAGGTCGAACGGACTAAATTTCGGGTCGGGTATAATGGACTAAATTTCTGAGGTTGGTTCAAAGTAGGGATGTTACTTGTAAATCAAAATCAACTGGTTATAGTAGTCTAATAAGATTTAAAAAAAAAAAATAAAAGTAGGGTAATAAAAAAATCAACCTCTTAATGAATTAAGCTGTTTCTTTCCAAAAAAAAAATAAAAAATCAACCTAATAAGTAAATCAAGTTAGCCCATTTAGCCCTTTTTTTTTTAAAATGATACTGGTTCTATTATAATGTAGTATCTATACTTTCTCAATCTACTGAAATACAAAGAGCCAATAACACTTCACTGAGGTTCGAACTCACAACCTTTCAAATAGAAGTTCAACCCAGGTACCGATTATAAAAAATAATAAAATTAAATTAATAAGTCTTACCTATTATAGGCTTGTGTTGATATGTGACACAAAAAATAAACTCAACTTATATATATATTTAGTCGATCTAGCTCCTGCGAATACTAATAATCTCGTGAAAACGTGTGAATTAATATTATTTGTTCATTTATGATGATTAATGATTCGAAATTAAGAAAAATTTTTAAAAAGGTGGTGACATTTTGTAATAATCACGTTGCATTTGAAAATGTTTGATAGTGCATCCACAAATAACTTATAGATAGTACACACATGTGAATGCAATATTATATATTTTGAGTGCATTATTGTCAGTTATCTGCGAGTGAATTATCAAGCATTTCCACACGCATCATCTTAATTATAGAAATGTCAATGCGCTTTTTCCTTAGTTTTTAGCCTTTAATTATCTTAGATGGGCTTATGCGATTAATCAAACACGTTCTCATGGAGAATACTAATTTCATTATATACGAGTGAGTACTAATAAAATGTTTATTACTTTTGAAGAAAAATGTAAAACTTTTAGATTTTGATTTAAAAGTATTACATTTTTCCTTTTTAGTAACAAACACAACATTACTTATAAGAAAAATGTAATACTTTTGATGAAAAATGTCATGTTATACTTTTACATCAAAATGTAAAAGTTTTATATTTTTCATCAAAAGTATTACAATTTCCCTTATAACAAACATTTTATTCCTAATTAGTATTATATTTTTCAATAAAAATATAGTATTACATTTTTATATGCCCTGATCTATTTCACAGATAATAATCAGTGTAGTGAGACGGATTCACACAAGTGCGACTCATGCATAAACATAAAGAAGGTGAAAATTTTAAAATGAAAGATGGAGAAAGAAAACCATTTAACGTTATAATGAGAGACAATCCTCAGATCACAACATTATATATATATATATATATATCCAATCCATGAGTAATGACTCTATTATATATAATGTAGTTTCTCAATCTACTAAAGCACACACTAAGGTTCGCCTGTATAACTTCCCATTTGGGAGAGTCATAGAAATGACATTGAATTACAAGTTACTTGAATTGACTTACATGGTGCTATATAATTTCATTGCAACAATTAATTTAAGCCTTCACTACATAATAGTGACCAAAGATGATAATTTTAATATTAACTTTTATTATCACTATGTGTAATAACCATTTAACAAAACTCAAATATGGATTTGTACCCATACCTCCCTTTATTGGTCATGCTTATGAACTTATTTTAATTTAGTTGACTAGTTCAGTTGTACCTTGAGGGCAACAAAACCCATATATATACTGCATGTGTGAGTATGTTATTATCAAGATCAATCGCGCTTATTATCACTATATCAAAGTTATAGCTAGTAGCAAAGGCACAACTTTGCACCCTCCAACCTCAACTGCCCAACTTGCTTAGCTTTAATTTAATATACTAATTGTCAAAATCAAACGCTTATCACTACGCCAAAAATTGTAACTAATAGCGAAAGAGTAATTTTATTTCCTTGTACTTGCGTATCAATCTTCTAATCCGATGCCCCAACATTACATACTTACATCTTTCTTAGTCTTGATAAACCATCATTAACATCCATCTGGGGACAACATATACTGAGGAAAAACCTTGTAATTTAAATAGTGAATGCACTTTTTTTTTTTTTTTTCGAAAACCTATAGTGAATGCACTTAATTAATAATAAAAAGGGTAATAATCTTTGTGGAGTATCAAGTGTAGATATATAATGAGACAATCTTCGAAGATGTAAAAGATTTTTGTAAGTTGTCTTATTCCAATGTTTTTATAATAATGCAATTAGGACAAACTTAGCTGTTTTGTTTATTTGTGTGATTGTTATAGATTTGGTTAGATTGTGTTTGAAGTCAATACCTAACTATGTCTCCCTTTTCGTTGGCACTTGTGTTTTCCACTACTAATTAATACTTAATTACTCCTACTTTAATTTCCCTTCCCTACCCGTAACCATATCTGAAGGTAGGGCCACCAGTTTTTTTTTTTTTTTTTTTTTTTTTTTTTTTTTTAAATTTAAATCGAATGAAGGGTGAGACTCTAATAGCGTAAAATTTATACAAAACGAGCTTATTAAGGCATCCAATGAGGTTAAAAAATGACCAAATAATCATTCGTCAAAATATGATGAAGAGGGTGAGGTAAGATATTGGCTCTGTTTGATAACATAGTTAGCTTATCAGTTAATTTTAATTTATTTGGCCATTATTAGTTGTTTGACTTGCAGGTTAAATATTAATATGAGTGTTTGATTAATTAGTTTTTTTGTAACCACTTATTACTCCAAAATGTTAAAATTCAAAAAATTACTCAAAACGGCTTTTTTGATCAGTATTTTGAGAAAGTCATTTTGCATGTAATCAACTATTAGCTAATAATTAATTTACCAATTTTTTTCTACAATCTGCTAATGCTATCAACTAGTGAAATTGATAGCAACTATTTACCAAACACCCCTATTGTCTCCCATCCGACCATTCATGTTGGATAGCCATATAATTGATATACAATAATCTACCACATGATTTCGGACAAATTATATTGTACATTGGTCTACCTTACAAGATAAATCTTGATACATATTCATTTTTATATTACAAGTTTATTTTTTGTGTATTGCATATTTATTTTTAGTTTATGATGATTAAGTTTATTTTTTGTGGGAACTAAACCGTTTATTTTTGTGTATGAGATTTCATCATAAACTTAGTGGATATAAGCTGATCATGCATGAATCATGATATAATGTGCTTAGTAAATAATTAAAAATTATTCATTGACATTTATATTGGAAAGAAAACATTCATAATTACCATATTTAATTTCTTACATTGATATTTTTCTTATCTATATATATTGATTAATATTTAAAACTGATAATATTCAGATAGCATTACTTGCATGAGGAGCTTGAGGGGTGACGGCGGCGATCACCTTGTGCTTTGACGACGTCGTCGTCGACCGCTTCCGTTTCTTCTCGTAGCTAATCCCTCTAGACTTGGACTGGAAATCCCGAACGTCGCGGAGGAACAGGCGGACGGCGCGGGCGCCGAACGGGTTAGACTCCGGCCTGCCGCCGTGCTCTTCGTAGGCGGCGCGGAGGCGGCCGATGAGCGCGTCGAGGCTGCCCCAAGCTTGCCTCAGCGGGCAGGGGCAGGGCGCCGGAGGGTTGGGGACGCCGAAGAAGGGGCAGTTCTGGTTGTGGACTTTAGTCTTCCCGAACTGGTCCAGGTACCGGAGAAACTCCAGCACGTGCGCGCCGCTGCAGAGCGGCAGCGACAGCGGCGGCCGGTGGTTGCGCAGATACTGGCAGAAGGTGTTCCAGTCCCGCCGCTTCTGGTTCTCGTACCGGCTCAGAGGCGGCGGCCGCGGCGGAGCCGCGGGCGCGTGGATCGTCGTCGTCCTCGACTCGTTGCCGGTAAATATGAAATCGATACTCGGAACCATGATTCCGGAGCTCGGATTCATAATTTCTTGCGGTGTAATGAAATCCATTTGGTATTTATCTGTTAGGGTTCCTAAATCTGGTAGTTTTAGTGTTTCTGTTACCATATATTCATCACATTCACAAGTTAAAGATGAAGAAGATGCTAGATCTTAGGGCTAAAACAGAAAAGAAAATGAGATGAGATCAAGGTGAAGTATGTAAGTGAGACATATAGTTACAGTGGAGCTAAGAGATTTTGCGGAAAGAGTGTATTCTGCAAGAAAAGGAAAGAAAGCTCAGTCCTTTAATTTAGCAATAATATGAAGAGAGAGAGAGAGAGGAGGTAGAAATGTAGGAGTGTAGCAAAAGGGTTAACCAGTGATTTTGGAGCATCACATATGACATTACATGTTTGTTTTTATAGGAAAAGTATTTGTTACCCTGGGCAACATAACCCAATCAAGTTGGTCGGACAGACGGGTAATTAATTACAAAATTTCATGTTCAACTTTTATAGGGAGTTGTCTATTAGTATTCTCGATTTGAGCTAGTCCATTATAAATAACTTAAGCTGGTTTAGCTCCTTGTGGTCTACCGCTTTTTGATCCTTTGACAACTACGATCACAAAGTAAGCTTCATTAATTCATCAAGTACGCCTTTAGGTAGCGTTTACCAACATCAAAATGTATTAGCTCAAGTGATTAAATATGAGGACATACTTGTAGCAACACTCTTAGAAGAATGGCCCACCATCACTAGGGTTAGAGCACCCTATGTCATTCGATAATAAAACACATTCTTTAATTATGTATTAGATACAAATCTAACAAAATTTTATTAATCATATCAATTATCAGTTTAAGCTTTTAGTTGATGCGGTTAGAGTTTCAGCCTCTCAGAGACTTTATATGTGTTACATTTTTCAATAAACTTGGTGGGTACGCTTTAACAATTATTGTATAGTAAGTACTATTAAGATAAAATATAATAGGTGTGGTTATGAGGTTATGCATACGACAAAGCTATGATATGATATATATATATACGGAGTAGGGTAGCATAAAACTACAAATAAAGCTGTAAATACGTTGAAAGCAACTGTTGTTGGCAACAATAGTAGGCAACAAAATCTAGGAAACTTCATGCTGCCAATCCCTGCTAAGTACATTAGACTGCTCCAAAAATCTTTAGCTCACATTCTTGAGTTCACACGTAATAAGAAACATGGGGGAAATTCATTGCAGATAAGGGATGACGTACTCCTCCCCATTGTAGTATTGTCATCTTCATTATATTCCCACATTGCGATAGGTTCAACGGAGAAAGATGGTAATTTTTAGATAGGGAAGTTATATTTCACTCACTTAATCATGTCTTTCGCGATTTGTAATACATTTTTGTATTATGTTATACATATTATGATCCTTCAATTTATTTACGAACACATAACTCTTACTGATTCTGTTATGTCCATACATACTTTCACCACCTACTCACTGGGTTCGACCACAAGTTGTTAGTTTTTATTATTTAAAAGTTTGATATAGTTATTTGTTTTAATAATTAAGGATATTTATTGTTTGATCACTCAATTTGGTTTATTCATTGGATTGAAAGTCAATTGCACTGTAAGTATACATCATTTTGAGCAATAAATAAATAAATAAAATAATTGATGTATGTAATACCATCATATTTGAAAAGCTTGGGATGTGATTTTATATATATATATATATATATATATATATATATATATATATATATATATAATTGAGATTATTGTTGTAATATAATGTTATTGAATAGAATAATTTTGTCCATAAACTCAAATTTTTTCAATGACGAAGAAAATTTGCAATCATTATCTAATAGTGAACTTTTATTAGATATAGTGGGAGGCACCATATCATGTGCACTCATGATCTATATTTTCGTTATCATGATTTACATTCTTCCAAATGCTCTGTCGGGTCGGGGTGTGGGGGGCCCTTAGGGTTGGGGTTCAGCCTTTTGGAAGAATGATCTATATTTCCGAGTATATAAGATGTATTTATTGTATTGTTATGCATATATAATTGTTTAGTTTTGTTCGTTTAACTTTTCTTTATAAGGTAAAAATTATGTTATAATGAATAATTTTTTTAATCAATCAAAATCTCTTTTGATTACTTTTCCTCCTTTCATATTATAAGCAAAAAATAAAACAACCCCAATCAAATTACTAAAACAATTGACCTGAAATGTACTTTTTTATTACCAAAGAAGGGGATACCCAAACTACTAATAGCCTCCCTTAAGGCTTGAACCTTTCACCCCCCATTTAAGGGAGCAACCGGATACCATTGGACTACAAGGTCCTTGGTCCTAAAGTGTACTTTTGAGTAGCAGCAACATATTTTCCCGTAAATTAGAAATAAACATACAAGACGTCTTAGCTTGGTAGTAGTACAAATTGAAGAACATTTTTCAAAATACATGCACTACATACTTTTTCTTAATTTGCCATTTCCTCCCCCTATCACCTTCTTGAACCAAGCACAATGTCAACCATGAGGATTGAAGTGACCATAAACATATACGGAGACATACACTCAAGGTGATGGGGAAAATGACATTTCAACCAACATGTTTCACTAGCTCAAACCGTGTTATAAATGCTAGCTAGCTAACTCAGACTTTTCAAAGCAAAGTCTTGATAGAGCCCAATAAGATTTTACAAGAATCTTGTTTGTTTATTTGTAAGCAAGCAAAGAAAATGACATTAATTAAGGACTTACTCCTCACGACCCACCGGCAAATTCAATTTCTTGTCTATGAAATGAGAAAAACCCAACATTATATTTATATATATATGAAAAGATGTTGGCCAAGTTAATATTTGTGGGTTGGCACAAGATTTCAACTTTAAATTTTTTCCTTGCATGGTTATTTAGGTGGTAACAAAACCCTACTTTCCTCTATGCAATTATATTATACTTGCATAGCAAGCAATACTAGTGCCACGTTTTGATAACAAGATACTAAACTTGGTCTTTCAATATAATTGAGGAAAATGTCAAAATACTTGAATACTTTGATTTGTGGGAAAGTCGCTATCTACCTATCTTGATTGTGGCCCTAATCGGCAAAGGAGCACAAATGGGTAAACAAGCCTAGCTATGTTGCTCATAGTTGACCAATAAATTGAACCTAGCTATCTCGAATTTGAAATCTTGTAATTACTAAGTCAGTCTGACTAACTCAATTGGGGTTGTTCTGAAAATGTTAAATACTAGTAATACAAAGTGTATGTATTTGTTACATGGCTCGAACTCAATATGCTAGCTAGAATACTAGTAATACAAAGCATGAAGTAGTGGAGTGCAGCATAGTGACGTCTCCATATAAAGCCAAGAGCTTTTCATGGGATTGAGGTTGTTGTGTCGTTCTATTATACCAAAATGAATCCTTAACTTTTGTCCTGTGTCTACATTGTACAAGCAGCGGGTCACGGACACCACAGTGCCATATATATCATTTCCCATCGCCTCTTTTGCTTTCGGCCTGACTGGTTTCTCACTCCATCCACTCAATTGCCTATCATATTTGATGTGATATATATTTTCGGGATATCTAATTTTTTTCTGGTTTAGTTGTTTTATTTATACAAGTTGAAGATCATATTTTCACAGGTCCGGCCTATTCTTGCATTTTAGTGAAAAAGTCTAGAAGACAAAATCCTGATGTGTCAGATTTATGTGGTTTAACTGTTTTATTTATATTATACAAGTTGAGGATCACGTTTTCACATGCCCCGGCGCGACCCTATCCTAGATTCTTGGTGGGGAAAACAAAATCGTGATGTGTCAGATTTATGTGGTGTGGTTGGGCCCCTGGCCCCCCACACCCCGGCTTGACAGAGCATTTGGGAGGATGTAAATCATGGTGACTCAACTGAACATGTGGCCCGACAGAGCATTTGGGAGGATGTGGTGTGGTTGGGCCCCCACACCCCAGCCCGACAGAGCATTTGGGAGGATGTAAATTATGGTGACTCAACTGAACATGAACCAAAAACAAAATCGTGATGTGTCAGATTTATGTGGTGTGGTTGGGCCCCTGGCCCGACAGAGCATTTGGGAGGATGTAAATCATGGTGACTCAACTGAACATGTGGCCCGACATAGCATTTGGGAGGATGTGGTGTGGTTGGGCCCCCCACACCCCAGCCCGACAGAGCATTTGGGAGGATGTAAATCATGGTGACTCAACTGAACATGAACCACAGAGAGCATTTGGGAGATGTAAATCATGGTGACTCAACTGAACATGAACCACAGAGGCTATGGTTGGGCCCCCCACACCCCAGCCCGACAGAGCATTTGGGAGGATGTAGAGGCTATGGTTGGGCCCCTACACCCCAGCCCGATAGAGCATTTGGGAGGATGTAAATCATGGTGACTCAACTGAACATGAACCACAGAGGTTATGGTTGGGCCCCCCACACCCCAGCATTTGGGAGGATGTAAATCATGGTGACTCAACTGAACATGAACCACAGAGAGCATTTGGGAGGATGTAAATCATGGTGACTCAACTGAACATGAACCACAGAGGCTATGGTTGGGCCCTCCACACCCCAGCCCGACAGAGCATTTGGGAGGATGTAGAGGCTAGGGTTGGGCCCCCCACACCCCAGCCCTACAGAGCATGAACCACAGAGAGCATTTGGGAAGATGTAAATCATGGTGACTCAACTGAACATGAACCACAGAGGCTATGCTTGGGCCCCCCACACGCCAGCCCGACAGAGCATTTGGGAGGATGTAGAGGCTATGGTTGGGCCCCCCACACCACAGCCCGACAGAGCATGCATTTGGGAGGATGTAAATCATGGTGACTCAACTGAACATGAACCACAGAGGTATGGTTGGGCCCCCCACACGCCAGCCCGACAGAGCATTTGGGAGGATGTAAATCATGGTGACTCAACTGAACTTGAACCACAAAGGCTATGGTTGGGCCCCCCACACCCCAGCCCGACAGAGCATTTGGGAGGATGTAGAGGCTATGGTTGGGCCCCCCACACCCCAGCCCGACAGAGCATGATAAATCATGGTAACTTAACTGAACATGAACCACAGAGACTATGGTTGGGCCCCCCACACCCCAGCCCGACAGAGCATGATAAATCATGGTGACTCAATTGAACATGAACCACAGAGGCTATGGTTGGGCCCCCCGCACCCCAGCCCGACAGAGCATGATAAATCATGGTGACTCAACTGAACATGAACCACAGAGGCTATGGTTGCCCCCCCGCCCCCCCCAGCCCGACAGAGCATGAGGATGTTAAATCATGGTGGCTCAACTGAACATGAACCATAGAGGCTATGGTTGGGCCCCCCACACCCCAACCCGACAGAGCATGCATTTGGGAGGATGTAAATCATGGTGGCTCAACTGAACATGAACCACAGAGGCTATGGTTGGGCCCCCCACACACCAGCCCGACAGAGCAGAGGCTATGGTTGGGCCCCCCACACACCAGCCCGATAGAGCATGCATTTGGGATGATGTAAATCATGGTGACTCAACTGAACAGAGGCTATGGTTGGGCCCCCCATACCCCAACCCGACAGAGCATGCATTTGGGAGGATGGGAGGATGTAAATCATGGTGACTCAATTGAACATGAACCACAGAGGCTATGGTTGGCCCCCCCACACACCAGCCCGACAGAGCATGCATTTGGGAAGATGTAAATCATGGTGACTCAACTGAACACCCCAGCCCGACAGAGCATGCATTTGGGAGGATGTAAATCATGGTGACTCAACTGAACGCTATGGTTGGGCCCCCCACACCCCAGCCCGACAGAGCATCATGGTGACTCAACTGAACGCCAGCTAACTGAACGCTATGGTTGGGCCCCCCCACACCCCAGCCCGACAGAGCATCATAGTGACTCAACTGAACGCTATGGTTGGGCCCCCCCACACCCCGGCCCGACAGAGCATGCATTTGGGAGGATGTAAATCATGGTGACTCAACTGAACATGAACCACAGAGGCTATTGGGCCCCCCACACACCAGCTAACTGAACGCTATGGTTGGGCCCCCCACACCCCGACAGAGCATCATGGTGACTCAACTGAACATGAACCACAGAGGCTATTGGGCCCCCCACACCCCAGCCCGACAGAGTATGCATTTGGGAGGATGTAAATCATGGTGGTGACTCAACTGAACATGAACCACAGAGGCTGGCAGACAGAGTGCATTTGGTGACTCAACTGAACATGAACCACACACCCCAGCCCGACAGAGTATGCATTTGGGAGGATGTAAATCATGGTGGTGACTCAACTGAACATGAACCACAGATTGGGCCCCCCACACACCAGCCCGACAGAGCATGCATTTGGGAGGATGTGACTCAACTGAACATGAACCACAGAGGCAGACAGAGTGCATTTTGACTCAACTGAACATGAACCACAGAGGCTATTGGGCCCCCCACACACCAGCCCGACAGAGCATGCATTTGGGAGGATGTGACTCAACTGAACATGAACCACAGAGGCAGACAGAGTGCATTTGGGAGAATGTAAATCATACCGATGCTCTCTGCGCACAAGGAGCCCCCTCACCCCTCACTTCGAGAGGCTCTCTGCGCACAAGGAGCCCCCTCACCCCTCACTTTGAGAGGTTGCTCCCACACTGCTGCTGGTGAGACTCGACCCCTGGTCATTCTTCCAAAATTTCACCTCTATGACCAGTTGAGCTACCCATGCGAGCGGTTTGACTGTTTTATTATTTATATAAGTTGAGGATAACGTTTTCACATGCCCCGACCCTATCCTAGATTCTTGGTGGGAAAGACGTACAAAATCTTGATGTGTCTTGACCCTATAAGCAACTAGTTATTTATGCGTAGTGCATTCTCCCAACAATTCTTGATATCAAGTGCTTAATTCTTTATTTCTCTATACTTGCATATCCGTCAACCTAACATATGAAATTTAACGTGTCACTTAATATAATTGAGAAATCTCACATTATAAACGTGCTTGTGTCACATAGGTACATACTACTTTGAGTGGGTTTTTATTTTGGGGAGACAATGAAGGGGGAACAGGTAGGCCGGGAGGAGAAAGACCATATATTGGGAGGGAAAAAGGGAGAAGATTGACAACAAATGCACTATTAGAAGTTAGAATAATACATAAGACTTGTATCGTTATAATGAAAATTATGGATAAATTTAATAATAAATAGAGTTAATTCCAGTAATGGTCCTCCGACTATATTGATTTTCCAAAATTAGTCCTTGACTTTTAATTTGGACACTTTAGGTCCCTTGACTTTCAATTTCTTTCCAATTGAGGTCCTTTCGTCAGAATACAGTTAATTGAATTTTAATGAAGGGGTGAACTCATCATTTCACCTGCCTATGTATTGTTCTTAGTATTTCTCCATTGTATACGCAATATATATGAAGATAATCTTAGTCGAAACCCTAAAATGTTCCTCGTCGTTCCCTATTTGCTGACTACTCGTGTGTGCGTTCCTCTATTATTGAGATGTTTACAAGGTATAACAGCGAAATACGAAGGGAGAAATACGAAGAATAATACATAGGCATGTGAAAGGACGAGTTTACCCCTTCATTTAAAGTCTAATGAACCGTATTCTAACGAAAGGACCTCAATTGGAAATAAATTAAAAGTCAAGGGACCTAAAGTGTCCAAATTAAAAGTCGGGGACTAATTTTGGAAAATCACTATAGTTGGAGGACTATTGCTGGAATTAACTCTAATAAATACTAAATCCATTAACTTAAACTAGTAACAACATTGTTTTTTTTTTTTGACATGAGAATAATATATCAAGATATATTGATGTGATATTGTTGTGCCACGTTTTATATATTTGTTAATATTTATAAAAATTAAAATATATAATTTTGATTGCAGACTAGACAAAGACAGTAGCTCTCATCACCCAAAAAATAAGTAATTTTGCAAAGTCTACCCCTAGTAGATTTTCACTTTTGGTGTAAAATTGCTCCAACTTCCAAAGGCAAATTGGATCCACCTTACAAGGTAGACCCAAATTCAAAATACACAATTTACATACTGAATGCTCACAATTTGTAAAAGGTAAATTGTGAACATTAAGTATATAAATTATGAACATTCAATACGTAAATTATGAATGCAAATTGTATATTTTAGACCCGGATCCACCTTGCAAGGTGAACTCTGGTCCATCGTACACCAATTGCATCCCTCCCCCTATGGGTCAGAAGAACTGAAGAATAATACAAGATGTAAATACATTCTAGTGCAATGTGCAAAAATAAGTAAAGAAAAAGAGAAAAAAATCATCATAATCATCAGATCTTTCTTCTCTAAATGAAACTTCATCATTGCATTCTGGCCTACTGGCCATATGAGTCTAGGCATCATAAAATAAAACAGGATAAAACATAACCAGATAACTTCTTAATTACTTAAAGATGAAGATGAACTGCAGATCAACTGGAATATTGCACTTCTTTACTAGATAGAAAATCTTGAAGCAGAGATAACAATTCCCTCAATTTCAATGGTCCCCGCTTCCATTTGCCACTCCAGTCACAGCACGCTGCATCAGTTTCGAGAGAATAAACCAGCATAAGCTATGGTATGGTTGAAATATGATCTTAATTCTTAAGTAGTAGTGGCAGCAGCTAAAGAAGATTGCTAACCTGAACTCGGGATAATGCATACTGCACATCAGTGTCGGAAATCTGGTGGTGAATCACGAACCTGATTCTGCATTCGCGACATTCCATGATCAATATCGATGAGCAAACAACGAATTTGGAAGGCGTTGGTTCGTGTAATGTGTTGAAACACAAAAGTTGTGTCGGTAGAAATATGTCTGTTGATTGTGTAGAGTTGTGTCTGTAGGATTGTGTCTTTTAAGTCTGTATATATTTGTCTGTTGTCTCCCCATTGAGACAAGAAAGTAATACAACAAATTCTTCTAAATCTTTCTTAACATGGTATCAGAACCCACAATTTGAATTTTTTTGTTCCGGAAGGCGTTGGTTTGTGTAATTTGAATACTGAAAGTGTACACATACCTCTTTGGGCCTTCTGGTAGAATGAGCACACCATGTTCCGCTAGCCTCTTGCACAGCTCCATTTCAGTTGTGTTTGCTTCCTTAAGTATATCGCAGAATACCTAAAATCGATAGTAATGTGTTTATAGGATTTCTACTCCTTACAATGTATCAGAATTTCGACATCCAGTAGACTATGAAGAAGCTTACAATGTTTGTTTCTACTGAAGCCATATCAACTTCCAGTCCGCTAATTTTGTTAAGCCCCTCTGAAAAATTTCAAGTTAAGGAACACAGAATCATCAGCCAATTCAAGAAGGTAAAGAAACGTGTTATTCTCAAACATAACGGATCGAGGAGAAGATTACCTGCTAAAGTTTTAGCCTTTTTGTGATCCCCTTCGAGCTTACCGACATTTTCTTGAAACCCAACAAGAGCAGCAGCACACAACACGCCTATCTGTCTCATTCCACCGCCTAAGGTCTTTCTCATAATCCTTGCCTATAAAGTCCAAGGAGAAACCGATGTTAAATCATGATAACTTTTAGAGCAAAAGTTGAAATCTTTTTAACTTTCATTGTAAATTTATAAAGTTTTTACCCTGTCAATGAAGCTTTTCGGACCAACAATTACACTTCCTACTGGAGCGCCCAGACCTTTTGACAGACAAACCTGCATATATTCTTGAATCAGGCATGCCAACAAATCATGTAATACACCAATATGGCCATCTAGAATTAGTACAGTACAATTTCATATTTTATTTTATTGAAAAATAGAATTAGTACATTACGTATAGTAAGTCTATTGAATGAATAAGCGTTTGAAACAGATCACAAACTTACAGAAACAGAATCGGCAGCCTGTACAAGCCTACTAGCAGGAACGCCAAGGGCCTGGAAACACATTCATCTAATTAGAATCATTTCATAGATTCAGATCAGGATTCTAGTGGTAACTTATCACGTATACAATCTATCTCTATATAAAAACTCGGGCTTAGATTGTTAGTAATCCTTAGACACCTTTATTATAAAAGAAGATTTCTTTAGCAAAAAAAAGGAACTCACAGCAGATGCATTGAATATGCGAGCTCCATCAATATGAAGTTTCAGCCCGTACTTCTTTGCGAGCTCTCCAACTTTGTCTGTATACTCTGCTGAGAGGCATCTACCACCAGAGCTGCAATCAAATATTGCTAGTAAGAGCTTGCATCGCAGAATGAAAGTTTGCAAGATTCTGATACAACTCGAGAGATTTCATTCTAGAGTATCTGAATTGAAGCATGTGCTCCATCTCAACTAAAAGCCTAAGCTGATAGTTGGATTGCACGTTAATGGCTACTGCGGTGGGTTCCAAGCAACACGTGGACCGTAGTCGCTTATCAGGTGGTCTGATACCAAATTGAAGCATGTGCTCCATCTCCTAAAAGCCTAAGCTGATAGTTGGATTGCACATTAATGGCTACATGCTCAACAATCTGCAAGTGTACAAAGTTCCCTTTTCTTGGCTACTGGTTTCAGTTTAATGCTTTCCAAAATGCCAAAAGTAACAAAAACGACAGAAATTAAACCAAGCGTGAATGAATTATAAGTAAGTTTATGTGAATGATGCACCAAAGAAAAATGCTATTTTAATATGATTTGCAAGCCTTACTGTGCATTTGAATTTTCCAAGCAGATGAGTCTAGTGGTTGGGAAACATATCTCAAATCTAGGATCTCGGATTGCAGCTTCAATCTGATCAAGATCCATGGTTCCATCATCGTTGTTCTTGATTGTCCTCGGATGAACACCTCCAATGGTGGAAATACCTCCGTTTTCATAAATGTGGATATGCGAATAATCACCAAGGATGATTTCACTTCCCCTAATTGGACAATGAGTAAGAACGCTAATCAGGTTACCCATCGTGCCTGAAGGAACAAAAAGACCAGCTTCTTTGCCCATGATCTTTGCGATTTCTGCTTCAAGGCGTTGGGCTGTTGGGTCAAAACCCAACACGTCATCATCTACTTCAGCACTTGCCATTGCAGCCCGCATGGCTTCTGTTGGTTTAGTAACTGTGTCAGAGCGGAGATCCACAGTCCTTGTCACCATTTTCCCTGAAATTACAAATTAAAAACACAAAATTTAATCAACACCAAGGCAATACAAGTCTTAAAAATGACATATTTAAGCCAGAAACGAAGCTCGATAAAGTATCAAAATTTTGGTGCCATGGGAACTACTCTTCCTGCTCAGAGTCACCAAACAGTCAAAGACCAAATATCAAGTATAGCAGAAAGGTAGTATACACACGCGCCCACAAACATTTTGATGCAAGAAGAATTCTAACACAAAAAGGAAATCAAACTGGAAAATACATCAGATTTTGACATTCTCATAGCAACATCACAAGATCTTGTTCTGTTTTCTCAAGCAATATATGATAAAGTAGCTTGGACTCTATTCTATTTTATATTTGCAAGACAATAAAACAAAAATTTCATAATAACCATTCTAGTCCCCTACTACTTCCATACTAAATATACAAAATATATGAAACAAGTGTGTGTGTGTGTGAAACACTACATCAATAGTAAAAAGCATAGGAAATAGGTGAGACCATACTTCTTGAAAACCAAAGATGAAACTGAGATGATTGTTCTGTGCCCTTCCTAATGAGAAATGCAAAGCTCAAGAACCCTTCACCAGAACTGAATCAATTCACTCAGCTGCACACAAAAACCTCCAGTTAATCCACAAGATTTGTAAATTGTAATGACAAATCAAGAACAAAACTGAGGGCAAACTTCCCTTTGATTAGAAGCAAAAGCACACAGATCAGAAGAGCCTAACAACCATTGTGTATACTTACCAGTTACCACAACAACAAAAAATATCTAACCCACAACTTCTAAGAAGCGAAAATGACAGAAATATATATACACACTTATATACATGCATACAAAGATTCTTTAACAAGAATTTATTAAACATCTTCACTGCACCCCAACAACCATAGCCCCACAGAAGATTTAAAAACAGGCATTGCTACTGACACAATGTTTGTACTAATCTGTTTTGTCATGCAGTGATGAGAAAACAACATGAAGCTTTAATAATCACAGGATGGAGACTAGACCCGGGTGATGACATCCCCCATATAAATACAAAACATGCATGCATTGTTCTTAACAAGTGGATGACAAAATTCCAACACGCCCATCCAAAATCCTTATCTTTCACTGTTACAGAGATTCTAGTGTTTCCTCATTGTACCCAATTTCTGGAAACTCCTAAAAATACAATCTTTGTAGTATAAATCAAAACAAAATGCAGTATATCCTAGAAATTCCCCTAATTTCCAGCATTCCTTATCTATTGACACACCTTTTCAGACCACCAAGAACGGTGGTTGGCTACTTGGCTCCTCTTCAATACTTCTCTCTCTCTCTCTCCCTCTCTGCAATTGAGTGTACTCTGCTATCTTTCTTTGATAGCAAATTCAGGGCGGATCCCATATATATAGCCCTTGTAAAATATAAAATATATTATATAATACATGTTTAGATATATGTATAAATTATATAAATATGGAAAGAATAAAGTATATAAATATGGAAAGAATAAATTATAAATATAAATAACTGAAGAATGTATTAGATGAGTGGATAGAGCATGTGTCACTTATGGAATGTTAATGGTTCATTTTTATTTATGTATATTAATAATGAAATGTGTAATTTTTATAATGTAATTGTGTTTTATGTTTTATTTTAAATATCTTTATAAAGCTTTAATATATTTTGTGTGATTTTTATAATGTAATTGTTAATAAAATTTTGGTGTGTTTTATTTTTGATTCATATCCAATAATATTTATAATTATTATGCTTCTTTTTTTTTTTTGAATACTACTAGCTCTATTACATTGTATTATGCTTCTTAAGTATATTATTTTTTTAAAATTATGTCTTTTATTTTAATATTTGTTCCACTCGAAAAAATTTCTTAGTCCATTCTTGAAATTTATGGGTATTTAATACCTAAAGTGATATGATTTCCACGTACTCCTTATAATTAATATACTAAACGTTTTTTTTTTTGGGAGGGATGGGATGGATGAATGCATGAGCTTCGCATGAGTTGGCAGATAAATGATAATGTTGTGAAGATTGGGTGATCGGTCATAGGATATGATTTGGCTTTGCCTCTGCCCTTGGGCCCACACCATACCAATCCAACTTCTAAATTTGGTTTAGTATTAATTATAATTATTCTTTCCAATTATAATTATAATTACTCGTATTATTATTTTGACTTTTATTTTTAATGTTTTTATAGTATTATATATAAATAAATAAATAAATAAATATGATATGCTCAAGCATGTGCTCCATGTCGACTAAGAGTATTATGAATAGGTTTTTTTTTTTCAATGATTTTTGAAACAGTAAAAAACTAGAGGGTTCGTATTTATCAAATGTGAAGAGTGATTTTTTATTGGATTTTTCTTCTCCACTGAATGGTTTTTTGTGAGGCCCACCAGAAAATAGAAAAGGAAAAACAAAGGCAGATACTTGCGGGAGAGGGTTGGTATTTATCAAATGTAGAGAGTAATTTTTTGTTACATTTTTTCTCCTGCAATGAATGATTTTTTTGTGAAGCCCACCAAAAAATAGTAAAGGAAAAACAAAGGCAAATAGTTACGCGTGGAGCGCAAAAACCTACTAAAAAAACTAGAGCTATTGAGGTTGTTTTTCTTCTTCTCTCACTATTGAGGTTGTTCTAAAAGACTAAGTTGATGACGTGGATATTTGAACCAATAACCTTTGGCAACCAAATTAAACCGTGTGTTTCATCTCAACTAAAAGCATAAGTTGAAAACTGAATTACACATTTATGTTTATATATTATATGCTTAACAAATAAGTCACTCTCATTAAGAGTCGAACTTAAAACCTATAGTTACCAATCTAATAATCCGACCAACATTATTATAATATTTATAGATTTTAGTGACTTCTAGTTGTTAGAAAAGATTAAAAGATCAACACACATCCTACTAGTTTGTCCTCCAAGGCATTCAATTCGAGTAGGAACTAGGAAGGTCGATTCCTGATACTCGTATAATACTAGATATCTCCTAATCGCACATGTTAAAAAGCTAGGCAATTTGGCTTTCTCATTCATAGTCAAAGTACATTAGAAATCAAATTGCCAAACCTTCCCACCATTAGTATATTGAGAGGCGTCTAATATAATATGGCGGCCCCAGTGGCTGTTTGGCGTCTTAACCTCCAATGACAAAAATAATAATAATAATAATTGAGGTGTGGGGACGTTAGGATTGCGGTTCAATCTTTGGAAGAATAATAATAATTATCAGACGTCCCGGACCGTGGGTTCAAACTGCTAAAACATCTCTGATGAAACTTACATGACATTTCCTCTTTTATTCTTTTTTTGGGGGGCCCTTTATTTGACAGAAACTGCATGCATTTGACAACTTTTTATCATCACTTTGTCATTTCTAACATTCCAGTCACTCCTTTATAATAAAGATGGAATCCGTAACCTTTTACATAAAGTTAAAGACCGATAACCTCTAACCAATAATTGATAATTCCACCAGAGGTCCTTTATTCTGTATGGGTAATTTTAAATTTAGTTTCAGATTATTGTTTTCGTCATTTAACATTCCAGGCTATTATATTTTGAACACTTTTAGCCCTTCATATGACTTTTTCTATTTTTAGTAAAGACATTTTTATCTTTTCATATTTTTCTTTTGTTATTTTTACGATTTTTAACCGGTTTAATTGATTTATGACTTTATATAACCTCTGAGTTTTAGTAATTATATTTTTCAACTGATTTTTAGTAAAATCCTAAACCAATTAAACCGGTTGAAACTGGAAAAATGACAAAAGAAAAATATAAAAAGACAAAAATGTCCTTACTAAAAATAGGAAAAGTCATGAGAATGACTAAAGTATCCAAAAAAATAATAGTCTGGAATGTTAAATGGTAAAAACGATAGTCTGGGACTAAATTTGAAATTGCCATCTCGTGGAATTAACTCTACCAATAATTAATCGATCCATAATTGACTCAAATGTAGCACAACACAAACTGGAAAAGCAGAATCAATCATCAAATACGTTTTGAACTCAAACTCTCAGGGCATACTGAGTTGAAATACATGGGATTGCACATGCAAAAACATGTTGGCATATGTAAGATGATAACCCAAAATTGATTAATCCTCAGAATCTCCTAAAAAGAGAACAAACCCTCATTCACTATTTCAGCAGAGTGACAGTTTCAAAACTTTGGCACCCACCCCCACAACACCCGAAACAGTTCTTTCCCAAACTTAAAAACTCTACCTTTTCCCGGGAAGGCGACGTGGCTCTATCATCTGTAATATGATGCCGTAATGAAAAGCAAGACGGATGTTGCAGTGGTCACAATCAATTCCTGCAAGCACATGCATTTTGCATCTAAGTAAGGCAAGGCGAAGGGCTATACAATAAAAGTAACGCTCGTGCCCATTGCGTTTAAGGGGTGGGAGATTGAAGCAGCAGCTTATAGAGAATAAGATTTGGGAATAATGCTCAAATAGACCAACGGTTGTTGTAAATAATAGCAGGAATCAAGCTAATTGGGGTGGGGGGTCACGGTGTTTTTTTTAGATACCTGATTGTTGTAAATAATAGCGGGAATCGAGCTGCCTGTGAATTCAATCAGATTTAGGAGGCCGGTATATCCCTGCAATTGATGAAGAAAACGTAATGGAGGATGTTTGAATAATGAAACACACTCGAATTTCTGGGTTTTCCTCTCCTTAGATTTGTATAGATTTTCTTTTAATGGCGGAAAACGTACCAAAGATGCAACTGCAATGCACCCAAAAGCCAGTGCAAGAGATCGAAGTAGCCTTTTTCCCATCCTCATCATTCGCCCATCATCCTCGCCTTCTTCCTGCAGCGTTAGACCAAAGAAAGAACTATTCAAGCTGTCCCATATTGACTATCACAAGTAAAAAAAAAAAAAAAAAAAAAAAAAAAAAAAAAAAACTTACGGTAAATGTAGGAGACACAGGAGATTCGAACGCTTTTAATTTTTCGAAAATCCTGTATACAAACGCAAAGGCCAGGAATTGCAAAGGCTTCCATTCACCATTGCGCTGGATAAAAGCCCAGGCAGTCTGAAAAGAACAGAAAAACAAGAGGATTGATATTTATATAAATTTATCTTTAAAAGAATATTTAAATGTTTGACAAGCTTTTAGTTCTAATTATTTCTTTGGCTCCATCTCTCTTATTCAATTACGCATTCAATGAGTGTAGAAAGTTCACATTAGAAATGGCTATTTTAGGATGAGACGAACTCAAACCAAAATGGCTTCCTTATAGAAACAAGAGATATCATGGGTAACTTTCACGCCATGTGGACTAGAAGATTTGAAGATCAGATTGTAGAGAAACGTCATTATACTTGACCTCAGATATATGTAACTAATTAAAGTGTAAGAGGACATGTGCAGGATTGGTCCCAGGGACTCGATCCTCACAAAAGAAACAAGGATGGAAGCCAATCATGAATATAATCTTGAAAATCAAATAACTTCATATAGCACCGTGCCCAAGTAGACAGTGATTTGTTAAACAACAAATTTTTTATTTTTATTTTTTTGTCAGGCCATGAGGTGTCCTGAGCAGGCCCTAACTATAGGAGGCACTTTTAAGCCCGTACCATATCCAGATTAATCCCCATTCACACCGGGCCGGCCCAATTAAGGAGCAAAGTGCTAGCCAAATTGGTTTTTCCATACGAGAGGGGTTCGAACTCCCGACCTCTCTTAAGGGATGAGAGTGCACAGCCACTCACGCCAACCAAGCTGGTTAAAAAACAAATTTTATTGCCATACACAGAAAGACGGTTTAAATTACAAACATTCCTTCATGAAACCATTGTTTTGGCGCATGGCTGCATACATATTTGCACGGTGACCATGAAACATACAGAGAACAAAACAATGCACTTAAAGAGTTTAGAATATGAAAAGGCTAAGGCACAAAAGAAGTTAAATCTGGAAGAAATAATATGTAAAAGTAACACGTCCTCCTTTAGAAACACACACCAAAGTAAAGAAAACAGAAAAGGCTCTTCTAGAATAGACATATAAGTATTCTTACTACTTACAAATACAGCAGAAATTGCCATATTGATCCGTATATCTTTGACTTCTGATTTGCTGAACCTGAGAATATAAGGTTGAGCCAATCAATATGTATCTGATTCTACATAGAAGCCATGGAAACACACTTTTGGCCATAAGAAATTAAAGTATAAATCACCACTTAACGCTAATGCAGGAAACAAGTCGAAAGAGAAGAAGACTTAAGAAGGAAAGAGTTACTATGAACTTTCCATTTGATCAGAAAGAACATGCCTATTCATTAGGTGATAGATGGTTACATAGATAAAAGCTAATGAAAAACATAGAAAAATACGAAAGCTAGGATGTCTATGACTACTATGAGGAATGTCCGAGAGTTTCAGAGCATCCTACATCAAATACACATAATCAACTCATCCTGCATCTAATATGACAGTGAAGTAAAAACATATTAACAATTAACATAAAGTCACTAGCAAGAGCATTTTGATCCGGTGCTTAACATTATTTTTACTATTAGTAGCACTGACAAAATGACATACCTGGGACCCCATGGTACAATAGGCTGCTTATCAGCATACTTTATCTCCTTTGAAACCTGAGCTTCATAACAAATGAGTTATAATTATTAATTATTAAGATAAGAAAAAACACACGGAACGGTATAAACTTGCATGAGGAAATTAACAATGGAGTACAAAGTTGAAGAAAACTTGTCAAGGGAAAAAGGGCAGACGTTAAATGGTGCACTAGTATTTGAGTACCAATCGGTGGCAAGAAAACAGTACCTTAAATGATCCAAATGTAACACCTTTCTTTCTCTTGGTTAGTTGTGACATCATGATCTTGTCATATGCCATTTCGAGCTGGAAAAAAGTTATTGCAGGCTTATTTACACAGGTTTAGAACATACTCATTCTACTTAAGATCCAAAAGTACAAAAGTAACAAAACTATCATTCTTAATTACTTATATAACATACTTCTGCAGCAGTTGCTTCATCACCCCTCTTTTCAGCTTCTTTACGTTTCCTCGTATATGATGCCTTTATCATATCAAATCCCTCAATGGGGCTCACACCAAGAACCTTGTAACGACCAATTATAAGACAACCATACAAACAATGTAAACTCTTCAAACGCCAATCCCTAACAACACTTATAAGATGAGATAGTTCCACATTATTACCTCATAAGGATTTAAGTCACTGTTTGAGCTTGAACTTCCTGCAGCTGAGGATGCAGCACAGACCACCAGCCTATTTGCTAAGCACTTTATAGGAAACCTAATAAGAAATTCAAATCCTGTTCCCACATTAAATTGCTAACAAAGAAAATAACACCATAAAAAAAAAAATCATGAGAAACACAACTTCTTACACCCTTATCCAAACAACCAACAAGGTAAAATCCTTTTCTCAAACACGGATTACTCAAAGTTATAATCTTTCTTTACCTTTTCCCTGTCAACTTTCATGTGCCATTGTACCAAAAACAAAACAACAACCGAACTAAAGAAAAATAGAAATTGTTTAAATCTTGTTTGGTAATTGGATTTCTGTTTTACATGTGGGTGAATGAGAATTACCTGAGAGACGGAGGGGATAAGATTGGAGGTGGAACAGAGGCTCTGAGAAAAGAATTTCTCCCAGAAAATCGAGAGCTTTGTGGGAGATGAATTGAGTTTGGCGATATAGTGAATGCCATGGTTTCTGTATGCTCCGATTCCGTGCGAGAACTCAGAACACTTCGGGGCTTTTGAGGGTTTTTGTTCAGTTGTATTCTGCAACTCAACACTGAACACTCGCAATTCCCAAACCATCGAAGCAGACAATCCAATTCTTAAAACCCTGTTATATTTTACAATTAAAGATACGACAAACAAGAGTTCGCGTGGCCTAATGGATAAGGCGCTCGCCTCCGGAGCGGGAGATTGTGGGTTCGAGTCCCACCGTGAACGATTTATCCCTTTTTCGTCCCCTATGTAACTCCGGTATTTACTGTTGTGTTGAATTCCCTTTGTTCCAATCCAAATTTCAGTAAAGTCGGCATTCCAAGACAAACCGACAGCTTTACTTTCACCAAGTCGGCATTCCAAACAAAAACCGACACTTATACGGACAATACGTTTCAACCAATTTGTCAAAATCTTGAACTTCAATTCGCATCATGTTTCACTGATTATATATATAATCAAATCAGGCATAGACTGTAATAATAATTGAAGAAGAATGAATATGAAACTACGTTGTCATCTGTTATGAAAATGAGAGATTCTCAAGCAGTCAACACTGATTTTTTATATTTTTTTTCCTATATTGTAGTAGTATTGATTAGGTTTAAAATCGAGTTAAATTGTTTTTAAATTTAAAACTCTCTTTAACACCTATGGTTCAAGAAAACAGTTTTTGTTCAAACATATTTTTAAGTTTAAGTTAAATTTTGCTTAGAGTGTGGATACTTGCGTTGGTGTTGAATGGGCAATGTTAGGTGGGTCATGACAAAAGGACAAATAAGGAACGTAACATGATTGTTTACTTAGAGTACTATATATATTGCGCCAATTGACTAGGATGTGCAAAGGTATGATAAATGATGACTTAGTAGCCAAGCGACATAACGAGTGAGGTGCTAATTGTAGGTGCAAACACAGAAGGCCTAGTGAGGCACCCAAGGTGATTGTGCTTGCTCATGACTGAGGCCTGCAACTGATAGGAATGAGTGCGCTACATTATAGAATTAAGAGCATTTCCGTTAATAGTTTTTGGTGAGATTTTTGAGGAAGTCAAGCTTATGTGGAGGAGAGAGAATAAGCGATACCTCATATGATGAAGTTTGTTTTTGTCCGATTTTTGGGCCCAACAAGAAAGAAGAAAAACCGCCCTTAATCGCATGAGGTACAAATCTCGCGCCCCATGCACGTGCCTAACTGGACGTGTAAATATTCACTTAAAAAAAAAAAACTATTTTTATTTTTTCAATTTTTATTCTTAATCACGCAAAAATTTCTCACAAATTTTGGAGATGCTTTAAGGCTAGCACTGGTGCTTGTGCAATTCTAGGCATCCAAGTTAGGAAAGTCATTGATTTTTGTTATTCACCTAATTTGTGTTAAGCACAAAGCTAAACAGAAAACCATCAAAAACTTATGCTAAAACTTTTACAAATAAGATTTTTTTAATGAAAATTCAAAATTTAACTATAATATATGATGTAAGAAATTACATGATATGATAATTTAATTCTTATTCTCATAACATGTACAAAAAAAAAAATAGTACCAAACACCAACCAAAAAGCGCACACATATCATACAAATTAAATTACATCCAAAAATATTTATCTTTTGTTTTTAAGAGAAACTTAGCAACCACTATCTGAAATATACATTAGGTAAATTTCACATTGTAACCTTAATAAACAAAAGATCATAATATATAGGATAAGATCACAGGAAAAATTTGAACATATAACCTTATAATAACTAAGATAACAATTTGACCAATTGGCTAGAATTGCTCCGATCCAAAAACATAATCTTTCACGATGTATTTCCAGCATTAATAAGCAAATTATACCAGAAAACTGCATCGTTGCCAATACTAGAACTAGTCTCACAACCTCCAAGCTCCATAGGTAGCACAGAGCTGCTAGAAGGCAAGTAGACAATCCCAGAATCATCGTTTGTTGTTCCAAGGTTTTGATAACTCTCCCTCTCCTGCATGCTCTCTTCTGCTTCCTCCATTTTTGTCGTCATCGGGGAGCTTGAATACATGCTGTTCACAGTCGTCGGTGCCGCCGGAAACCTCAGGTGAATCGAAGAATCGCCGATCTGGATTGGCGTGATGTTTCCGACAACATTAAAGTTGGGAGAATATGGACTCCCATGATGCTGGAGCCTCTTCTTCAAGTGGGTGTTCCAGAAATTCTTTATCTCGTTATCTGTTCTCCCCGGCAGCCTTGATGCAATGGCAGACCATCTGCACAGGATCGGATGGGAAGAAAACAAAGATTGTCTGTTAGTTCCATTAAAACAACCTCAAAATACATATATAGCACGAATAATAACTGAATATCGGATAATAATTTAAACTTTTAGTTGAGACCTTTTAACATTTTCTGTAAATTTTATGTTCTGCCTACCTGTTTCCGAGTGTTTGGTGCAGTTGGATGATGGTTTCTTCTTCGTCTTTGCTGAAATTTCCTCGTTTGATATCTGGTCGTAAGTAATTTATCCAACGAAGCCTGCAACTCTTTCCGCACCTTAATAAACCTATATATGTACCAAATAAATTAATTATTTAAACGTTAAAATGTATCACATGTAGGCATGTAGCTAGCAAAATCAAATTTATCTCCTTCCCCTTGAATCTTGGGTTGCTATCTAAAAGTGCATTGAGTTTTGGGTACTAAGGTTAACTGACTCAAACCAAAAAGGTCAATTATAGTACAACTAACTCTAATGTTCTTGATAAGATCAGACCGAATCTTGTTATATACTTTTTCATCCACCGAGATTCGATCCAATAACATTCTCTCAAGAAGAGTTACTGAAGTGTCATTTGAGCACAAGGTGCTTGGCTTGGTTCGGTCCCTTACTCTAATAATGTTCTTCATCTATACATACTATGCAAAACAATTAAGCTTAATAAACTAAATGAAACGAAACTCAATCTCACCGGCTTGTCTTGGTAAGGCTCTCCAGTTTTCGTGACCATATCTCTGTATAAAAGATGTTAAAATTTGATCTTCCTCCGGTGTCCACGGCCCTTTCTTCATTCCCATCTTCTCACAGCAAGGAGCCCTCACCATTCTTCACTGTACTTCTCTCTCTCTCTCTCTCTCTCTCTCTCTCTTTGCATATGTATGAAGCCTAGATAAGGGTGGTGGAAATGGGATGATCAGAAAAGAGAAAATAAGTATTGCAATATATATATATCCATTGAAAACGTGATGAAAATGGCGAAGTAGAGTGGAAGTTGATGGTTTTCAAAAGGCTAAAGCACAAAATTCCAACAGCAGTCTTTTTGTGTCGCCTCTAACGTTTTAAAACCTCCTTTATTTATATTATGTGGTCGATCAAGATTCAAGATAAATGCTTTCCACCATCGATCATTTTGACAGAAAAAGAAAAATGGCCCGCTTGAACAGTAAACCGTATTTGAGAGAAGATATTAAAGCTTAAATTTTGGCGGTGACAGTATGAGATTATGTCCAAAGTGAGCAGATCGTCTCTTGTGGGCACTGATATTTGGCCATGCTTGCTGAGCTTTGAGTCACCGTGATTTACATCTTTTCAAATGTTCTGTTGGATTAGGGTGTGGAGGGTCCTTGGGATTGAGGGTTTTGGGAGAGAAAAAGAAAAATGTTTGGATGTGATGGATGGGTGATGACAATATAGTGTATGATGCAGCTATGATACTTCTTGGTTGCTTCTTCTTTAGGTTGCAGGGTCCATTTATCGACTTTTGCAGCCGTGTAAAAAATGTAAATTGTCAACAATCTTGTGCGCCACCAACTTATTCTTTCTTTCTTTCTTTTATATAATGTCTTCCATTTTCTTATTTTCTAACCTTAATTACAATTCTTTTGCAAGTTTGAAGAGTATGTATAATATAATTAAACCCTTTGATTATTAGCAAGTCATTCTTTTTTATTCAATAATAAGTCAAAAGCAATTTCATGATTTGGATCGGATTCGATCAATTGTGATATGATAATTTTAGCGATGGAATACATTCTTGGACCCAATTCAAAACATTACATCATTATTCGATAAAGAAATAGTGAAAGTAATTAAGTCACCCGAAGGACGTGACAATTGGCATGAAAGACTAGAGACTAATCACTTGGACAATACAAATAGAGGAAACATATATACTATGGTTGTAGATCATACCGGTGCACATTTAGCTTCCTAATATATCATAATAAGGTTAAGGTAGTCAGGTAGGTATGTAATAATGTTTATAATAAGGTATTCTCAATTAATATTGATGAATAATATAATATAATTAACCCACAATGAATAAGGGATGTATGTAATAATGTTTATATGATTTCAAGGTGTATTGTTTCTTTCATGAGCAAAACAAGGTGATTGATTTTCATGCAATTTTTTGTATTCAATGTGATTATATATATATATATATATATATATATATATATATTGCAAACGCAAACCCAAATTGACATGTGTGGTGGCAGTGCAAACCAAGTCATACACTTGGCCATATATCCATATATGTAAAAGGTCAAAAGGAAAAAAGTGTGATTGATGAATTAAAGATGGGATTATGAATTCATCAAAGAAATTAACTAATTAATCTTGTATATTTACAAAAATAAAAAATGCGCAATCACTACTCAAAGATGCGTGTTAGGTAAAGTTTGCCTTATAACCCTAGTCGGTAAAATACTATAAGGAGATAAATCAGTCTAATTAAGTTACTTATAGTTGATCGGCTCAAACTGAAAAAATCCTAGTTGGCAAAGGACAACAATGATGTAAATCATGTAAGATTGTCCATTCAATAGACAACTTCCACAAGAAATCAAAATTTATAACCTTAATTGTGGCGTTAATCTTCACAATATAATCTAATTAGTAGGCAATTAATGGGGACAGAAGTCAATAAATGATAATCGAATTTATTGACTAAGCTGTAATGTGTACTGACAGTCCTCATTTTCCACTGTGCAATTGGACTATATATCCTAAAGGAGAAAGGAGATTCTTCTCACCATACACCTAAGGATTAAGCAGATCTGGACTTTTTGCCGACACTAGATTTTGTCATCAAAAGCCACTATGCTTTGGAAAAGCTAAGGATGAATGAATGATACAGCAGTAGTTGCATGTCCGGGTTTACATTCAATGTTTTCTAAGTCTATTTTTTTTTCAAGGGATTATTGCTTTCTGAAATATTTTAAGATCCTCAAATCTTAACAAAAATACTTTAGAGATGGAAATTGCTTGTCATGATATGCTTTTTGCTTTTGGGTATGCATATTAGGCATAAATTGAGGGTTATCTAAGTATGCATTTTTAAAATCATTATTGCAATTATTATAGTCGATGGAATATTGAGTGTCGGGATAATATAATAGATACAACAAATAATTATGAGTCTAGTGGAATGACTCGAACAGTACGTTAGTCTAAATCTAAAAATCTAGATATATTGTGTGTGTGTGTGTGTATATATATATATATATATATATATATATATATATATACACAACACACAAAATAATATATAACACCTTATCTTGCTAAATATATATACCATAATATAGATAACACCTATACATATTTCTTAACCAAAAAAAAAAAAAAAAAAACATATCATGGCAGTCCTGTGCACACCCTTAAATAGTGGATGTTGTTTCTTTCGTTAAAAAAAAAAAAAAAAAAAAAAAAAAAAAAAAAAAAAAGGTAATCCCATCCAAGATGATTAAGCGGTTGATTTGGTAACCAAGGTTCCAAGTTCAACTCCAGGTGGAAGCGGTTTATATATTAGCCTTCTTGGTTTGAATCTGTCAGCTATGGACAACCTAAGCTTGTTTACTTCTTTGTAGTCTTTTATGGGTTAGGATCACAAGACGGGTTATCCATTACGTACAGGGGCGGGCCCACAGTGGTGCATGGCAACTGCATGCCCCCCCTTCCCCTACCCCACCCCCTTATATATATGTATGTATATATGCATATATAGCATTAACTTATATATAAAATCTATATTTATGTACAAATTACTAAATGTTTGAGTAGCTTAGTTGGTTGTAACTCTAAACTTAAATTTAAATAGCCTATGTTATAGGTTTGAATCTCACTAGTAGCACTCCCTTAAAACTTCTTTTACTTTCTATTTGAACCTTATTATGGGTGTTTGATATTTTGTCATTGACATTTCTACGTCACCCAAAAAAGACATTATATTTCTACGTCACCCACCCAAAAAAAAAAAAAAAAGTAAATTGTAAAGAGATGAAAATAGAAATACTTATTAAAAAAATTAAAATTAAAATTAAAAAAAAAAAAAGTTGGGCAGCCTTGAGTAGGATGGAGTTGAAGATGAAGATGATAATGATGATGGTGTTGAATGCAAATTCAGTTTGTATTGGTTTGACACACCACACATATATCATCAAATCTGATCGTTCTACTACATACTGGAAGTGTCTAGGAAAGTGCATTATATTATATGGTGGCTTTAACACAAACTTTAATTTCAATTTTAGCATTCTTTACATGGCCTTTACTGTGCAGTTCGATCCCATGCATGCATCATTTCCATATATATCACAATTATTTGGTTTTCCTGAACAACCTAAGAAATTTCCTCCTCTCCTGCTGTGGAAAACTTAGTCACAATTCCATTTCTACCTTCAAAATCACACAATAAACTCCACCACTATCAATTTCTATCACTCTCTCTTTCCAGTTATTATTTTTATATACACACACGCACCTTGATTTATAAAACATGTTATAAGCCTAATTTAAACAATTAAAACGAGTCATGTTATCTATTTTCTACGACGTCATACAATGTCACGCCATACTTTCAATTAAAAAGTAAAATATGGGACAGTCATACAAAAAAAAATAATATTAATTTAACAGTAAAAATGTTCATGGTTCGTTTACTTTAAACTGGGATGGGTATTGTAAAACTGCAACTGAAATCGAAAATGGAACTATGGATATGGACCATATGGTTCCAGTTTGGATTAGTTCAAAATTCCAGATCGAAACAAAAAATAAATTAAAAAAGAAATTTTAATTTTAAGCGAAGTTCAAGTCCTTTTTTGGGCCTAAATTGGATTGAGAAAATAGATCATATTTGGGAGGGGTTAGAGTGCAAAGATTGGAATGATGGGGTACAAAGTGAAAGAGGAAGGCCAGCAAATTTCAGCTAGCTTTGGGCAATTTATATCCTACACCACGGCGCGCGTTGCACTATGCGTCCAGATGCAAAACGACGTCGTTTTAATTTTATTTTTTTTTTGAAATTTCCCGCCCCAGTGAATGGCAGTAGTCTTTCTTTAAAAAAAACCCGCTATTCAAGAATGTACATAATGTTATACTAGAATACACATAATGTTATACATGAATGTACATAATTATATAACAAAATATACATACTCTTTTTAAAAGATAATACACATAATCTAACATAATACATAATAAACATAAACTTTTAATATAATACACATCAACTCTTAACATAATACACACAAATTTTCTGATTCGGATGTACATAATTGTATAAAAAGAATGTACATAATTGTATAAAAATACACATAACTGTATGAACCAATACACATAACGTTGTGAACAAATACACATAACGTTGTGAACAAATACACATAATCTCAGCAACTTCCTACCGCGCCTCCCAACACTACCCTAAAGCGACGTCGTTTTGGGAGGCGCGCGGCGCACAGTGCTATGTGCGCCGTGGTGTAGGATATAACGATTGCTAGCTTTGCTGGCGGGCAATGTCCAACTAATTTTTTAGTGGGTCAACTAATTTATACATTGGACTAATAGACCGGGTTCTTTGGACTTGTATTATCACCTTATTTTATTATTCTAATAATCTAATTATAGTCCAGTACAATATTTCAAAGGTTTGGGTAATTTTGAATGTATCATTGTTTTCCAACAGAATTTATTGACATTATTTCCAATTTTATGGTGGTTCTGATCTATTAAAAATCATCATAACCAAACCCAAAGTTTCATACAAAATTTTGATTCTAATTCCTTAAAAACATAAAACTATAAATCGATAATTTAGAACCGGAACCAAAATTTGTAATACTATTCGCAAAATTTGGTAACAACCCAGTCCAAAAATTTGATTCACAGCCCATATTTGGGAACCATAAGCAATTGGGCCTCTATGTTTTATAAGGTTATTTAATCATTTAATGAGATTGTTTTTTTTTTTTTTTTTTTTTAATGGCAACTTATACCATAGATCATGGATAAGTATTCATTTTAATATACTAAAACTTTATTTTTAGACAATATATCTAAAGATAAACTTTTTTTAAAAAATGTACATTTAACATACTAAAAATAAATTTTTAATATATTAAAAATTAATCTTATATCAGTGGTTCATTGTATAATAGTAATTGTTTTTTTTTTTTTATAAGATTAAATAGGTATGTCATGGACAACTATGACTATCTTCATCTAGTTTTTGTTTGAAAGGGAGAACTTAATTCATTGAATCAGAAATGAGAACATCAACAAGATACTGAGGAGGGTTGTTATACCACTCTCCGTAACCTGATTGAAACGGCTTCTCGAGCAACAATGTGGGCAACACAATTCGCAGATCGCTTCACAAAGCCAAAGTCTACCCCATGCAACATAGAGGCAACTTCTTTAGTATCATCTACTAAAAAATCAAAAGCGAAATAAAAGGAATTCACATGTAAAGCAAAATAAAGTAATTGTGAGTCTGTTTCAATTTCTTCATCTAGTTTCATTTGCTAACTTATTCACAAAAAGGCGAAATTTTTTTGCACTCATGGAAAGTGAATGAGAGAGACTTTAGTAGTGAAAACACCATCTTTTTCTTTGATCGCAAATTTTGACTCTCCAATTTCTATTTTTAAATTGAAAAATATACAAATAAGTGCATTGTCTATTTTTTTTTAAATGTATATATTTTATTAATAAACACACTCTAAATGTCATCAATATTGGTTGATTTATCTGAAAAAGGAAAGAGAGAAAAAAGAAGAAGATTTTATTAGACAATTACTCATGATCAGCGCAAAGTACAATTGGGCCATTATAGAAATAAAGAAAAAACAGAGGACTAATTAGTAATTTTCTGAACATGAACGACAACTTGGACGAAGGTGAACGAAACCCCGTACAGATTCCAGCACGCCAAGAAGGCCAAGACCGCAAGACGGCAATGAAGACCAGGCGAAATTTCAACGGAGAAACGTAATTTATAAATATTCTTTTCATTTAAAATTGTTTCTTTCTCATGATTACAGACTTTAAAAATTCATACAGTTCAAAGCCCCTTAAAAAAGTTTCAGTCTTTAGATGTTCAAAGCCCCTTAAAAAAGTTTCAGTCTTTAGATCTTCAATTTCTTCGCCTTCCTACGGCCAAATCCCATAATTTTCTCCAGAAAACCATGGGATCTTTCAGTGGGAGATTTGGGGTTGTTTGGCTGTGCCTAATTTTGTGTGTACTTAACAATTATTGCGTTGCTGGAGAACCGAGATCGCAATCTTCGGAAGAAGCTTACGTCACGCTTCTCTACGGCGATGAGTTCCTCCTCGGCGTTCGAGTTCTCGGCAAGTCTATCCGGGATACTGGAACCACTAAAGATATGGTTGTTTTGGTCTCAGATGGTGTCTCCAGCTATGCCAAACAGCTCCTTCAGGTACTTTTTCTTTATTTCAGATAGAAAAAAATGAAAATTTGAATCTTTCTTTTCATTTTGTATTGTTTTTGTATATGGTTTATGTTCATTTATGTATTTTTGAACTTATGGTACACTATAAGTAATTAGTTGAGATAATTACTTTAGAACACTAACTTATGTAAACAGCTTCTTCAGGTACTTTTATTGAATTCAGATAGAAAACAAAATTGAATCTTTCTTTTATTTTGTATATGGTTTATGATCTTTTATGTATTTATGAACTTATGGTACACTAAGTAGTTAGTTGAGATGATTATTTTAGAACAATGACTTATGTATTTTGGTAAGCAGTCAAATTGAGCTAATCAAGCACCTTATAATAATTTTACTTGTGGGGCTCGATTGTTTTTATTGTTGAATGATATAGGAGTTTCTATGCAGGCTGATGGGTGGATTGTGGAAGAAATTACTTTGTTGGCGAACCCAAATCAAGTGAGGCCGAAGAGGTTCTGGGGTGTCTATACAAAGCTAAAAATCTTCAATATGACTAGATACAAGAAAGGTGATTTGGTTACCTAGTAATTCGACTCACCTTGGCCTTTAACTACTTCTTAAAAGAAAGTGTGGTATATTTTTAATGTCCTTAGCCTACATTTTCTTTTAATGTAATTCATCCAGATTAATGGAATGTGTGATCTAAACGACTATCTTCACTTAACCCTTTTCCAATGTTCTGGCAGTGGTGTATCTTGATGCTGATACGATAGTTGTTAAGAACATAGAAGACCTATTTAAATGTGGAAAGTTTTGTGCAAACTTGAAACATTCAGAAAGGCTGAATTCTGGAGTCATGGTTGTTGAGCCATCCAAGGAAGTTTTTAACGATATGATGAGCAAGGTTAACACTTTGCATTCTTACACCGGAGGTATGCTGGATTCGTGTATTCATTCAATTGCAATGCCATATCTTTCCACTTTATTCAATATGATAAATGCAGTTATAGATATTGATAGTTTTGAAATTGAGTGCCATTGTTTATTTATTTATTTTTAAGAAGTCTCTCTATCTCACCACATTTTCTTGCTGCTTACAGGTGATCAAGGGTTTCTCAATTCCTACTATTCTGGGTTTCCTAATGCTCATGTCTTTGAGCCAAACTTGTCTCCAGATGTCTTAAACTCTAGACCGGTTCCTAAAATGGAAAGACTTTCTACTCTTTACAATGCAGATGTTGGCCTTTACATGCTTGCTAACAAGGTATTATCTCGTTTCAAGAGGCTTCTTCTTCCTCCATTTTCGGTGAAAATGGTCTTTTCTCTCTTTTCTCCCAGTGAATGTGGGCCTCGCAATAAGTCCTCTCTCTGCAGCCTGCAAAATGCTGAAATGAAGTCTTTTGCTTGCATCTTAACTCTATTTATTTCATCTTCTGTTTTTTTCCTTTTCTTTAAACTATTACTGTTATTGCAGTGGATGGTTGATGAGAAAGAACTTCGAGTTATTCATTACACTCTTGGGCCACTCAAACCATGGGATTGGTGGACATCATGGCTTTTGAAACCGGTTGATGTCTGGCAGGTATTTTTCTTCTACTTCCCCTTTCTCTCAACCATATCAAATCGATGTTAAAAATTTAAAAAATTACTATATTTCCATTCAACTCTCCCGACTGTCTTCGTTCATGCAATAGCAAACATCTCCGACAGTCCTACCAATATCTGCACCATCCCTTTGCTTCTTGGAATGGCTGTTTTGCCAGAATTTGTAGATTTATCCTTTGAGTTGGAGAATATGTCATTTAAATTCTTGCCATCTGTAGAGCTGTAGATGAGGGTTCAATTGACTTATCTTCCTCAATTATATGACTTTCTTAATTCTTATGCTTATTGGTGATGCAGAATGCTAGGGTGCAGCTTAAAGAATCTCTGCCAGGAACCCATGGAGGCAAAAATCCTAAAGATGAATTTATTGTCAAGTTGCTATTTCTGCTTCCATTATTTCTTGTACTTTTCTCCTACTATCGGTCATATCTACAGGTAAACAAGATAACCATTTCTTTTTTTGCTAGTCAACAATGTAATTATATCATCTACATGAAACTGAGCTTGCTTTTTACCTGCAGACACGCTCAATTTATGATCATATTAAGCATATATACTACAAGTTCAGAGCGGGAGGTGTCCTTCCTTACTCTTCGGTTCCTTCGTCCACCATCAGCTCCAACCAGCAGGTGCATCTTCTTTTCGATTATAGGAGCATGATAATACCAATTAACATTGTACTCTTTCCTCCCTTATTTATCTCCATTTACCTACTTGGAAATAGATCTGTTAAGAGTCCCACATACATAAAATAAGAGAGAATATATGAGTTTATACGGCCATGGGTTAAACTAGCTTTTAGTGTGGTTTGGCCTATGTGCATTATAGCCCAGTTGAGTGATCCTAGCCTAATCTTAGTTTATAACATGGTATCAGAGCCTGTTCGGTCCACTTTGGTGGCGTCCAGAGCTTTCGTAAGTGGTCAACCAGTTAGATTCAAAATGGCCCGGTGGTGGGTTTCATAAGCCCGCTTGTTCGGTCCACTTTGGTGGCGTCCAGAGCTTTCGTAAGTGGTCAACCGGTTAGATTCAAAATGGCCCGGTAGTCCCACATTGATAAAATAAACCCGTTAGATTCAAAATGGCCCGATTGTCCACTCGAGTGGGAGTGTTAAGAGTCCCACATATGGGTTTATAAGGCCACGGGTTAGACTAGCTTTTAGTGTGGTTTGGCCTATGTGCATTATAGCCCAGTTGAGTGACTCTAGCCCAATCTTAGTTTATAACAAGATCCTAGAAAGCCCTAACTGATATGCTGATTGGCCTTAACTATTAGCTGGATTTTTGGACAGCCAAATTATCCACTCATGACTCATGAGCAAAAACATATGCCAACTTTTACATAGCATTGAGGTTGTCACACACACACATGTATTCATATGTTTATGTATATGCATATATTTCTGTTGATTTTTCACTCTCATTATGAGAAATAACATTAGAAGAACATACTGACATGATTTTGTGATAAATGCAGTCAACAAACGGTGCGCAATTAAAGGTGCCTTCTTATCTTGGTGGGATGTCTATCTTTGTCTGTTTTGCTGCTGCTTTCTTGTCCGTTGGGCTATCGATTCTGATCATCCCTCGCCAAATAATGCCTTGGACTGGGCTCATCCTAATGTACGAGTGGACATTCACACTTTTCTTGCTTTCATTTGGAAGTTATTTGCACTTAGTCCAGCATTGGGGAAAGATGGCGGGAAACCAAGCAGGTCATTCTAGACCTAAATCTTTGGCATATGATTCGGCAAAAGGTTTGTCGACTTTAAGGACACTCACTAAGTTACACGTTTCACTAAATTTGATATGTGTCGGCCATTTATGTTCATTTTTTTGTTCCTTTTGTAGGTCATCGGCAGTCATGTTGTGACATGGATGCATGGAACTATGGTTTAGGGATGGCGTTTCTTGCCATTTTAACCCCGTCACTTCCTTGTCTATTTGGGATCACATCACTATTTGCAAGGTAATCTTTTGTTTACTTATTTTCTCATAAATATAGTGTGTAAAAGGATGCGATTAGATCCATAAGGTGCCACAAGTTTACTTGTTATGATTGTATCGGTTTGTTTTTAAACACTTTGTTCTTTTCACTGTCGAGATTTTATAGTTAATATAAGAGCTGTATATATCTTGCAGGTTAGGGTTGATGGTAGCGGGAGGCATTGTTCTGGCATCTTTCATGACGTATGCTTCAGAGCACTTGGCGATTAGATCATTTACTCGAGGAGTGGAAGATAAAGATGTGCAGAGGAGTACGAGTGTATGATTCTTCTACTGACTCGAGTCTTGAATCGTTGTATGGCAGCTAACTAAAACATTCTTTTTTTTTCTTCTTCCCTTATTGTAATTTTGTTGTTGTGCTATAACCATATGTTCCCTATGAGTTAATTTGTATATGGTTTTGAAATACCAATTAATGAGGATGAAGAAAATCTATGATTCTGTCTTGTCTCATGACCCACTGAGAATATGAGTGTTTTTCTGCCATAAACTTCACCCCTTACCATGACCCACTGAGAATAAGGGGAGTTTTCTGCCATAAACTTCATCCAAGGTGCATTATGTAAGTGTAAATAAACTGAAAGTACATAATATGTCAACCGCATGTATGATGTATATACTCCTTTTATTCTATTTTATGTGTCTGGTTTGGTTAATGAGGTTTAACTGAAGTTATTTTTAATCAAATTTTTCATAATATTAAGTTTAGTATTAGTATGCAAAATTTATATATTTAGAAACTACACTAAAAGTACTGTTAAACACAAAAAATTAAATTTAAAAATAGTAAAAAAAAATAAACAAAGAAAAAAAGTTAATTTGACCAATGAATAATAGTAGGACAAATAAAATGTGACAGAGAGAATGTTGATTGTATGAATGCTGAATTCTGGTCCATGATGTAACGATTGTAAATTGTTGTCTTCTTGACGAGAATGTTGAATGTGGGGTTTGTAGTGTGACTCAGAGGTTTCACTTGTTTTTGTGTCGGAGTCTTAGTAGATGAGATAAATATGCAAGTATTCATATGCCAAGTGGATAAGATTGAAACCATAAAGCCACAAGTTTGTGGTTAGAACATCTCTTTCAAATTAACATTCCTTGTCTTATGAATACCTAAGTGCCATGTGGCAAGACCATGTGCCACTGCTAACTTCTCACTGGGGTGGGTGTAATCATGATTAGAAGCTAAGGAGTTAGGACCAAAAGAGGAGCAGACATTGATGGTACTTTATGTGTATATTCACAAGAGTGGCAAGAGTTTAGATTCCTTGGGTCTCTATTATTGTTGGACAATCAAGAATAATCAACTTGAAAAAAAAAAAAATTTAAAAATTCAATTGTTATCTATTGTTGGACAATCAAGAATTAATCAATTGTTATCTATTGCCAAAATTATATTGTCAATCAGTGTCCATCGCGCACATTGTGTATCCTAGTCCAGATTCTATACTTGCAGTTAAGATGAACGGGGTGAAACTCGTCTTGTGACCCTAATTGACAAAGGACCACGAGGAGGTAAACCAACATAGGTTGTTAATAACTGACCGATTCAAACTAATTAAAAATGCTTATAGACAGCTTCCACGAAGAGTTGAACTTAGAACTTTGTGATTATCAAGACAACTATTCAACCAACTTAGATATAATATATTAACTACATATACATAATATAGACTAGGGTTCACAATGCGCATGGTGGATCATGATCCACGATATAATGATGCTATCTACTATCTAGTGTCATAGGGTGGGTGTAATGATCAAACTGGCCAACATTATTGGCAGCACTATAGGACTTCACAGGCTTCTGAACCAATTATTCTATAGTTGTATACTATAATTATCAACCCCATCTATTATATTTATAACAGAGTAATGTTATTTAAGGTGGTATATTTTTTAATGCTGTGGATTAAGATATAATCAGATTATGAGTGTTTTATACTTAAAAAATAACCACAACTTCTTTTGACTTAGTTTACCTGGTGCAGGTCTTTAATTAGGTAGCAGGCAGGCAAGTTAATGGGACAATAGGCCTGATTATACAAAGAATTTAGACATTTTAAAAAGATAAATTATACAACAGATCAGACAAGACTTAACTACCTAATTGAAAACCTAAGGTAGGTCAACATGACATCATAGAACACCACAAAGTTCTTGTATAATTTTATATTCTACTGATAAAATAACAGAAGAAAGATACCCATTTCATCATCTTTACAGTGACTGTAAGTCATGTGGAAGGTATATACATAGGAATATTCTCTTTTTTTTCTTTTTTTTTTTTTTTTTTTTTTTTTTTTAACTCACCCAGTCTCGCATGATTATATCTAAACTCTCGTGAATCCACCTCAAGATGATTTCAGGTTCTCTGATTGGTCAAAATCGATCTCTCATAACTTGTCAATGGTGTTCGAACTCCCACCATGCTGCTGGAAGTATAAGACTAAACATTGATTGATCGACCACTTGAACCATCACGGCGAGGCTAGGAATATATATTTCTTTATATATATATAGTGAAAGAGATGTGAAATTAAGCTTTGCATTATCCATACACCAAAACACAAATAAGTCAAGAAACAAGTTGTGGGTCACTTCAATATCCAACTGCCATAATGCCATTGAAGAATGGTTAAGTTTGAGAAGGACATGAAAATGAATGCATGGTACAATTCATATAGTACTACTGTGATATGATATACAAAGGTGGCATTCAGGCTAGCTAGGTGTACATATACAATTCAATTATATTGCTTTCTTGAAAGTTGAAACTATATATATCTAATATGTGTGGCCTACAATAATTGAGGGTTTTATATAAAAAAAAAAAAAATTAAAAATAATAAAAATTGTTCACACAACTTGTCGGTATGTCAATCATGTACCCTTACAAGGCTTAACAACACACTTTTCTATACATACATAATATAATATGACAATCCCATGGACATGAACCCTGACTTAATTGCTTACGTAAGAGCTTCATAAGAGTTAATTTCAATTTTAATTTTTTTTTTGAAAACCTCAATTTTAGTTCTTTATTATGCTGACTTCAATATATATATATATATATATATATATATATATATATATATATATATATATATAAGCGTTCATATGCGACGGGGCTTATGGTGTGGCGGAGGTTCTAGAAATATACCAACAGTATTAACAACATGTATCAACAGTTAAGAAAACACACCACATAAAAAAAAAAAAAAAAAAAACACCAAAAAGACACAATACACCCCAAAAAAATACCATATAACTCACGACACCCTAATGGTGTGTTTTCGAACACTGTATGGTGCGTTTACTCACACCTGATGGTGTATTTTTTGTGATACGTACTTAATTTGTGTGTATTTTTGTGATGCATTTCATAACATTGATGGTGTATAATCGCTCAACTATTAATGACACCGCACCGCCGCACGAGATGACCCCACCGCACCTGAACCTAACTATATATATATATATATATATATATATGGAGGAGACCTGAAAGCATAAATCAAACATAACCAATAGTCACCTTGACATGGCCCTTTTGTTTGCACATTTACTCGTGCCTTTTTAACGCAAATTATATCGTGGATTAAAATATGTTATTCGTATTGTAGACTTAAATTTAGATTTGGAATAAGACTCTAATTCAAATTATATACATACAATTAATTTATTATGTACTTTTAATTAATAAATTATATGCATTCAATTATAAATGTACATAATTTATTAATTAATTATACATAATAACTAAATGAGATGTGATGTATTTAATTAATTCGGGGTAGCCCGATTAAATAAAACTGATAAATAAGGGATAGTAAAGGACTAGGTAAAATAGGCAAAAACGAGTGCTATAGGGTCGCGGGAATTGAATATTGTATTGAACAGTAATTGTCGAGTTATTACAACGATACTTTAGGACAATTAAGAATCTTGAACATGTCTTAATGAGACAAGACGATGGGCATTTATACAAGACAAGCCCTCTAACCGCCCCCCTAATGCGATAGGTCGGTTGCATCCCCGTGCTGACCACGCCAGGGTCCCCGCTTGACTGGGCCGAGGTGTTTTGGGCCGAGCATGGGACTCAACTTCGGGGCTCAGAATCTGCTCTGGACTTTCTTGCTCCGCCTCCCCAAATCGATTTGCTCTAATTATAATATATCCATCAACATGATTTATTAACCCTAGAGAAATCAACCATGCTGTGAACCATCTTGTCAAAGGTCGTCATGGTCGGGAAAGATTCGTAACCCTAGATCAACCTCTTGCTGAACTACTACAAATCCTAGAGAATGATAAATTTGGTTTTCCTTTCTGGCGCCAACTGAATGATATAGCTATGTAATGTTTAGGTATTTACGTTCCTTCCTGAGCCAAAAAACAAAGCAGTATGTACAAAATATTAAATAGGGTGCACAGTGTTTATTAACATTTCAAATAGTAAAAATTAGTTAGTTATTTTTAAAAATATAAATATTAAATTTATAAAAATGATTTATATTATTATACAATAATATAAATATTTATTTTTGATATTGTGCAAATTTGATAATCAAAATTTATCATTTTTATAATTTGTAAAAGTTAATTGAAATTTAATAGTTCAAATAAATTCAACATGATTATTAATTAAATTTTTGCACATCGTACCATTTGCGCGTATCTTATACTACTAGTTTTCACTTATATAAGAGTAGGTGACTTATTGATTATAAAATTCTTTATAACTCTTATGTATATTTAGTATTTTTATAGTAACGGTAGGTCCGAGGTAGTAATAATAGAGTTTTCTTTTCCGGTGACACCTCATTGCTTAACTGTAACTATAACCGCCTTTCCCGACACAAGAAACAAAAATGTATGAACATGAATCTACCTAAATAACCTTGGTATATTCTTATAGATACCATTCTTTAAAAAAAATAATAATAAAAAATATATACCACTCTTATTTCTCTCTCCGCATATAAATAAACCCTCAACCCCTCCCCTGCTTTTGCATCACCACACACAAAATTTGCATTCTCTTCCTAATCATGTGCGAAAGTTTGAAGCTAAAGTACCAGTTGTGCGAAGAAATCGGCCGTGGGAGATTCGGCACCGTATACCGTTGTTTTTCTCCGGTCACCGGAGAATCTTACGCCTGCAAGACGATTGAGAAGAGTCTCCTTCTCGATCCCACCGACCGGGAGTGTCTGGAGAAGGAGCCCAAGATTCTCCACCTTCTAGCCGGGGATTTGAATATTCTCCGGCTGGTGGATATCTACGAGGACGATAATTATCTCCACGTGGTCACCGAGCTGTGTTCCGGCGGCGATCTGTACGAGAGGGTGGTGGCGCGGGGGCCGCTGCCGGAGGCGGAGGCGGCGGGGATATTCCGGCAGCTGATATCGGCGATTGGGCGGTGCCACGGCACCGGGATTGCCCACCGGGACGTGAAGCCGGACAATGTGTTGTTCGATTCGGAGGGGAATCTGAAGCTGGCGGATTTCGGATCGGCGGAGTGGTTCGGAGGGTACGAGGATAGGATGATGACGGGGGTGGTGGGGACGCCGTACTACGTGGCGCCGGAGGTGTTGATGGGCCGAGACTACAGCGAGAAGGTGGACGTGTGGAGTGCGGGAGTCATTCTGTACATAATGCTGGCCGGAGCTCCGCCGTTCTTCGGCGAGACGCCGGCGGAGACTTTCGAGGCGGTGTTGAGGGCCAACCTGAGATTTCCCACTAGACTTTTCCGGTCTGTTTCGCCGGAAGCTAAAGATCTGCTCAGAAAGATGATGTGCAAGGACCCTTCAAGACGTTTGTCCGCAGAACAAGTCCTAAGTAAGTAATACAATTCAAGAAAAGAAAAAAAATTCAATCTTTTCTTTCATTTTCACCAATTCCTATGTTAAAGATTCTCTGTTTGTCAACCTTAATCTTAGCTAAATAAACTTGGATTCTTGGTAAATCACGGTGACTTATTAGATGGCCAGATCATTATCTGGTGTTCCAAATAATCTATCGTTATGAAATCACACCACCAATTGAGCTGTCTATACGAGTTATGTGTTTTTAACCTTATAGTTACATTATCAATTTTATTTAGGGTTAATTTATATTTATTTGATTGGTCTAAATTTGGATATGATGAAATGCAGGGCACCCATGGGTGATGAGTGGAGGAGAGACTAAAGCACAGAATAAAGTATGAGTGTGGAGTTGCTGAAGAAGGAGAAGCTGGCAGAGGGAGAATGGAAATACCCTAGTTTATAAGGGATATTCCCCTTGCCTATCTCCATATAGAAATATATATGTATATTTCTACCCTTTTGTGGGATAGAAATGTAGAATACTACAATCTGAGGCTGTATAGATATTACCCGGAGAGAGTGAATCTCTATATGTATAGATAAAACTACAAGAATAAAACCGTTTTTGTAAAAATAAATAATGTTCCCCTGAGACAAATTCAATATAGTTTTTTTCCATGCCTTTAAATTTACTCTTTCATTTTTATTATGATATATATTACATTCTTAGTTTGGGTGTGTAGAATAGTGTATTGTAAAATATTGTGCGAAATTATAGTCCTGTATTTTACTCATGGTATTATAATGTAATAGAGTTAGTAGTTCAAAAAAAAAAAATTACAGGTGGCCTGGTTTATTACGTTTCTTAATTTTGGAGTGAATGTGTCAAAATTGGTTTCTTGTTTAACAAAAAAAATAAAAATCAGATATTATTTTTATTTTTACGTGACGAAAATATTGACTTAAAAGAGTCCGTATGCTGACTTAAAAATAAATACTGACTTGGAAAAGGAAAAAGAAAAAGAAAAAGTTGTATGGTTCCAAGTATATGCGGAGCATCTTCTCCCAATTTTCCGTTTAAACATTTTTCTTCCTTATTTATTGATGTGAAAGGTTGAAGAAATTCCCATGTGGAAATTTGACCACCAAAAATATATTCACTAAGCATATTCATCGTTGTTTAGTTGGTGCTTAATTTTGATAATTTTTTTAATTTTTTTTTTTATGTAGAATCCCAACTTTGGTAATTATATTATAACCCAACCCTCTTCGTATATAAAAATTTATAGATATATTAATTATTACAAAGTATAATATTTATTAAATATTATTCTTATATCAAATAAGAACAAAATAATTTGAATAAACTCGAGAATATACAATAGTTATATACAATGCTATCAGTGCAGCTATTACCGAGCGCTATTGCGACTCAGTAACTATGTCATTATTTATAATTTATCACAAAAAATTAATTGAGTTACCTAATTACATTATATGTGCAAACAAATCAATTAATAAATTAACATATTATATTCCTCGCAAATTTCTCATCAACCATGTGCCATGGGGACCACTTTGTACTAACTTAGTAAATTAGTCGGGTCCAAATTATAAATATAGTCGATATGTTTATAATTTAGTAGCATTTTAAACCTCTTTCAAAACTAAATAGTTCAGACTCCTTATAAAAATTTATTCATTTACTTTTGAAATATAAATTGGATTAAAAATTAAAATAAAAAAATTAATAAATTTCAGTAAGTGATGATTTTTCTTTTCAAAACTTAAGAATTTAAAATTTTCTGTAAAATATATTTTCTTTATTAATTGTTTAATTAATCGGTCAAAGAAAGAGATAAGTCACTTCAATTTTCAATTAGTTTGGCTGGCTGCCAATGCTTTTTTTATAAGTCATTTCAATTTTCAATGTCTTCTAGAACCTCCTCACTTTCTGCATATCACTATATCAGACCGCGGCTCTTTGTAGGGGACAAAAAGAAAATATTATTTGTATTCTCAATTTTCTATTTTTTAATTTGGTCGATGAATCATTCATGACTAATTTTGTATTTTGTTATCAAGCTAATACTTAAGTAGTTAAGTATTGTGTATTTATACTTAACCAAGAAGGTTCATAGTTGAGCGACTCAAACCAAAAAGTCAGTAAATCGTTCTAATTAAAAGTGAATTTGAAAATTTGTAATTATCAAATTAACAGCCTAACGAATTTAATTTGGCCGGTGTTTCTCTTGTGCATTTCATACTTATTTGTGTACTGGAGTATTTGAATGTTTTGTGAATTGTGATTTTTAAAAAAACTTGATGAATGCATAAATTTGTACTTTTAAAAAAAAAAATATTTATATATAATATAATACAATTTTTAATGTGAAATTTTGAATCATGAAAAGTGGATTAACGGACGAGCCTATTGACCAACTTCATTGTCAAAAAGTAAATCAAGTTTAAGCGCAGAATATCAGTAAATATTATAATAATCAACTCAAATAAAAGTCTTTCAACAAATTATGTCAAGTTTGAATTTAATATTTAGTCACGTTAATTGTCACGAATATCTTAAATTCTTTAAATGTGAATATATCAATAATAAAAAATTAAAAAAAAAAAAACACTAAGTCAAAAATGTGTTTAAAAGAAAATTGTCCATTTTGCCACTTGTGATTCGTCACTATTGAACGTTGAACAAATGCAAAATTCTCCATCGATCATTTTCATTATATTTATCACTATGAAAGATTTTTTGCATTATATTGACAATGACGATGTCAAAAAAGTATATTATGAATAATTTTATATATTATACTTTAATAGTCAACCACCTATATGTTTGTGGGTTAAAGAAAATATTCATATAACTTATCAGTTATCACATGCAAATATTCCTTACATAACTATAGTAAAGTCAAAGTTTTAAATTTATTAATATATTTTTTTAATTTTGTCGGATCACAAGTTTTCTCAGTTAAGATATGTTAGGACCTCACATACTGAGAGCCTGAGATTAATCATATTCGTGTCAAGTAAAACATTAAAAGATGACAAAGCACTCCATTTATGAGTTTTATGAATTTAAAACTTTTGATTAAATTAAAAGTTAAGATACTCAATTTTAGGCTATCTCATTCACACGAGTTGAAAAACTCAAAACTGTTTAATTAATTAATTAAACTTCCATTATTTCCCCTACCCCACACATCCTAATATTGTAAAACTTTGATGTTATTTAAGTTAGTTTTTGTTTCCAAGGTTGCCTGTAGGACTTGGGAAGTTGAAAACGATGAACACAAGAATGGGAGCATGTGAAAAGTCCAATCCTAATAGAGCATCTCCTAAAGCATATACCAAACACTTTAACTACACTTTCACACTTGGCTTGTCTCAGCTCCCTCCACCTTTTACTTATAAATTCAATTCCCAACATTAATATTTATGACAACACCTCTTCACACACCATGTAATCTTCACACACCATGTAATCATGCATGCAACGTGTCAAAACCTCCATATCTAATAATTATTTTTAAAAAAACAACTTTTCTTGATATCATAAAAATTCTATTAATCCGTAATATTTTCATATTCAAGTTAAACCATCTAAAGATTCTACAAAAGTATAGTGATTTTACCATGTCTAATCTTAAACTTTTAAATTGACTATTTGTAATCCTTTGATTTTCAAATTGTTATTATCCGTTGTTCAAATTAACCATTTAAGTCTGTTCAAATTAACCATTTAAGTCCTTCAATTATAAGATTTTAACCAGTTATCATATTTTCATCCTCTCCCATTTTAAGTCGTCGCATGCTCACAAAAGTCGTCCGCCTCATTATCCTAGTAGGAGAGTCGGTCCAAGTCCCCGGCCACCACCGGGGTCTAGCCGAGTTCCGGCCCCAGTCCATTGGAAAAGGTGGCCTTATACACCACCACCCTCATCGCCACCACTGCCATCAGCCTAGACAATCGGAGAATCTTCTCCATAATAAAGGTGTTGTTGCATGGTTTCAATAAGTTGAATGACGATGGATATAATGTAAATCGTTGTTTAGTTAATAGTTAATTGTGTCTGAATAACGTGGTAACGTTGTATAAGAATAATTTCTGCTAAAGCAATACAATATAGTAAAGAACATAACCATTTCTTATTATTATGTTTACATGTAATGATATACCAAAGACTGGAATACTACAATAATCTCAAGTAGCATAATTGAAATGTAGTAGCATAATTGAAATGTAATGTATTACACCCAACTCATACAACACCATTCTTCTGTTCTGTTCACTACATGCAAATATTGCAAAATTGTTACATTCTATGACTAGATAAAAGCTTCTGCTAGAAAACAAAAACCAAAATAACAAGTTACAAACCAAACCTCATTGATTCTTCTTCATTTGCAATAATGACTCTAGGGGACCGGACCTGCAACCTTCTGCACCAACTCAATGAACAAGAAAAGACCAGACAACAGTGATTGTAGTAGTCACACCAAAACGTTTATTTTTCACTTCCTTCTGTTCTTGTTCCTATTAACTTTCACAATTTTTCGACCTGATTTGTCAGGGCCATTGCTGCCCAACGAGAAGCTCCCTCCACCACCGTTCAACTCCAAACTCCCAGATGCCTGAAAGGGAGATGGGTTTTGTGGAGCAGCTTGATTCTGTTGCCCGCCAAATTGGAATGGATTAGGAGAGCCAAACACAAAGGAACTGGGTGCGGGTGCAGGTGCAGGTGAGTTAGAAGGTTGACCAAATAAAGAAATTGCCGGTGAAGATGATTGCTGCACCGGATCCTCAGCCATGCTGTCCTCCATAGTCATCTGTTCATTGTTCCCAGGGGAGGTTGTGAAAGAGGGAGTAGCATTTCCAAATCCAAAAAGGGGGCTGCTTGAGGCACCAGGAGATGATCCAAAAGGCATTGGAGCAGTATTAGAAGTAGAAAATGAAGATGAGGAAGCTCCAAAGGTGAAGCCAATAGATGATGGGGAAGAACCAAAGGCACCAGATGAGGGTTGCTGACTTGAACCAAAAATACCAGCAACAGCACCACCTTGGCTAGCCTGTGAAGAGGCTAAAGAACTCGCACCAAAATTAAATGTTCCGGGAGCTGTATTGCTTACGCCAGTGGCTGAGGAAGCAGCAGAATTGCCACCAAAACCGAACACCGCAGGAGTGGTGCTGCCAGAAGAGGAAGGTGCAGAACTGCCACCAAAACTGAACACTGAAGGAGTGGTGCTGCCAGAAGTGGAAGACGCAGAATTGCCACCAAAACCAAACACCGCAGGAGTGCTGCTGCTGGAAGAGGACGATGCTGAACTGCCACTAAAACCAAACACTGCAGGAGTAGTGCTGCTGGAAGAGGAAGCTGCAGAACTGCCACCAAAACCGAACACTGCGGGAGTTGTGCTGCTGGAAGAGGAACCCGCAGAACTGCCACCAAAACTGAACACTGCAGGAGTGGTGCTGCCAGAAGAGGAAGCCACAGAACTGCCACCAAAACTGAACACTCCAGGAGTGATGCTGCTGGAAGAGGAAGCTGCAGAACTGCCACCCAAACTTAACACCCCAGGAGTGGTGCTGCTGGAAGATGATCCTGAAGAATTGCCACTAAAACCAAACACAGGAGTGGAACTAGTGGAAGTGGAAGCAGCAGAACTG